ATTGTTTGGGATGTGCATAGAATTGGGGGAAGAATTGTCCAAAAACACTCAAATATGATACATATGTGCTGGAGTATTTGGAAAAAGAGAACAAATACCAATTAATACAATGATAATTAAATTATTTAAAGTGGTACATTATAAGCGGTATTAGCATTCGACACCTAATTGACTTTAATGGCAGCATTCTATTCAAATTTTTCGCATATCAGGCCCAATTAAAATGCAAAATTTTAACAGATTGCCCTCCACCATCTCTATTTGATATTCGCTCTCGTACACACACGTTTGCATTTTAATTTGTTTCGTATTGCAGCGTTTTGTTTAAATGCAGAAGAACGCTTTGTTCCTGCAGCTCCTGTTGTTTGAGTTTTTGTGTGAGTTTTGTTGTTCCGCTGTTGATTCCCACTCGCCTCGATGCCTGCCCGTTTTATGAAAATTCAATTGGATGCAACAGCAACACCAACATCAACAGAAACTGAAACTGAAGCAACGAAACAGCGACATTGGCAAAACAAAACAAAACTCAGCTGCCGAGCTGGCCAGCGTCTCTGCATATTTGGTTAAAATCGTTGCCTTTCACTGTTTGCCATTTCAATTATGTGCAACGCGGCGTATGCGCAATGTTGTAATGAAATGGGCACATAGTTGTTCCACACTCTCGCCATTTTCCGAGTCGAACGCATAAATATTTTGGCCGGCAATAGCCGTTGGGTCCAATTGGCCAAAGAGCTGCATTTTCGCAGGGTTCCCTCTCCGCCTTTTTTCCGGTTTGTTTGCTTTTTGTTGGTCCTCCAAGTGGACTCTGTTATTTAAAAAGGCATTTTGTCGACGACAGGACTCCCCGGCTGCAGCTGTTTCTGCATAGTGTTAAAAGTTCATGCATATTTATGGTGTCATTCATATTAAAAAACGTTCGAGTATGAAACGCATTTAAACGGCCTGCCTGTAAGTAAAGTAACCATTTCAGCTGCAACTGCAACGAGAACTGCAATTGCGACTGGTATGAAAACGAAAATGATAGTCGACTGCGTAGTTAGAATTTTTCAATCGTCTCGATTACAGGGCTTCCGAAACAATAAACAAATAGAATTGGAGCGGTGGCAGTGGTCGGGGCACCAAACAAATTAAATGCAGCTCTCGAAAGTCCTTTGTTGACCATGGCTTTGCCTTTGGTTTGTCTTGGCTCGGATCATAGGGCTTATTTTTGCAAAAGTTGCCTTTGGCTATTCGTTCGCAAAGTTTCCAGCAAGTAGGGGCTAACCGACCCATCTGAAGGCATCCGCCCCCCCATTCACATCGACCATTAGCAGCTACTTTTCAATGCGGTTAGCTGGCAAACAAAGCGTTGCACATTTGCGCAGATAAAGTTCTGGCTCAATACGGAGGGGTAGCGGGAGACCCTAGTGGAAATAGTTAAAAATATGTAAAAGTATTTCGAAAAAAATGTTTTTTTTTTTTGCCTTATTTTATTTACGAAAAAGTTCGGATGAAATGCACAACAAAAGTTGCCCAGGGAGAACTCCCCCCACACACAGCAAAAGTTAATTGCATGTGTATTTGTGTGTGTGGCAGGGTGTGTGGCAACTAACTTTTTAGGTAAGTTCGAAAAACAGAAAGAGTTTTCAGAGTTTCGGTGAGAAGGAGGGGAGCAAGGTTTCTCGGCAATAATTAAACACACATTTTATACTGCTAATGAAACATTAGTTGTTTACATTTAATTTGCTATTTAGAAGCACCCACCCACCTATTAACCCGTCTGCCGGTTTCGGCCAGTTGACGACCAAAGAAAACTTCATCCGGCCAAAAACTACTGGGACTATTATTGTTATTTTTCCGGCACTCGAGTGCGCTTCATTGCCTCTGGCCGGCTTTGGCTGCCAAGCGAGCATTTCCCTTTCTGATTTGTTGATTTTCGAAAGCAGGACTCGGAGATTTATGAACACACATGCAGAAGTTAACTTGTATTTAGGCCAACAAAAGCAGCTTATACATGCAAAATTTTCTAGCTTACACACCCTTCTACATGGCTCCTTCCCCCGACATGCTGGTAATTTATTGGCTTGATAAAAACAAATGAAGAAATAACAAGAAATTCTACAATAAAACCAGGCAGCCAGCAAATATGCATTGTGCAAATTTGACTATGTGAAAATTGAAATCTTCATCGCTTTGCATATCTATATGCATTAGTATATATTTGACAGGCTTTTTCTTTCAGTTGACACACTTTGTCAAGGGGGGACTGTGAAATTTTTCATTTAGTTTGATTTGCTGCCAATATCTTGCAATCAGGCTCCAGGTAGGACTGGGACGAAACCTCAACTATGCGGCTTGTAATTTATGAACTGCCTCGCACTGCACTCGCCAGGACACCATTAGTTCCTGGCTGGGTCGTCCTTGGCAACATTTTTTGGCGAATTGTATGCAGCGATGCGTAAATTTCACTTACAAGTATGTGCCGGAACATATGTGCGGTTTACGGGCCGGAAACGAGGGCAGAAGCCGGCAGTAGAGTCTCCGGCCCGCAAAAATATTAAAAACGGCAAATCAAAGTGCTGCCTACATATTTTCGGGCAAATGTTTGCGGTTGAGAATGATCCTTTTTCTGGATTACTTTCATGTGGCTGCAGTGCTCCTGCTCTCCATCCCCCTCAAATAAAATAGAAAGCATTCTCCCACTTGCACTCATGCCAGTACCACATCATTTCGAATATTACAATATTAAAATGGTTTTTTAGCAAAAACTATTTGTAAGTAGGATTGTGAACACAGAGAGCCCACTAATTGAAAATGTCAAAAGCGAGTTGCTGGAATAGGAAACTAAATAATTCATTGTCCTGGCCAGAGGCGAAATCAAAGCAAATTAACCATTACATGGTAATTATTCAGAAAAACATCGCTAAATTGACAGACAAAAATACATTTTTCGCTCCGATGGGCGGGTTTTTAATTATGCCATATTTTTAGCTGAATATTCGCAGAAAATATATTGGTAAACAGGTGTGTTGTGGCCAGCTGTGAGCCTCGGAACAAAGTCATAATTATTTACCATAATGGAGCTATTAAATGGTTAATTTGAGGGGCGGAAAACGCAGTTTCTAACTTAAAAATCATACATACTATATTTTTCGTGGTCAGTGTTACATAAATTTTACTTTTTTTGGTAACAGAATTATGAATTTGTTTGCGTGTTTTTTCCACCCTCTGGAAAGCATTCGAGCAGTGAACTGGCATTACGACAAGTTTATTGCAAGTTTCTTCCCCAACCCGACGCCAAACTTATCAAAAACTTTCACGTTCATCATTTGCAAATATTATGAGTTTCCAGGCGACCCATACGCTGCCAAATAGGAATTCCTCGCATTTGGAGCCAAGGAGGGCATTATATTTTTGATTGCGAGTGCGTGGCACATATGACAAAGCATCCTGCGAGGATCCCCCGCTGACAGTTGGCACCGAAAAATAAAGAATCAGTTGTGATTTTTGGCCATTACCAAAAGCAGCCACGCTTATCTCAGCTCGAATGCAAAGACCCATGCCGAGATACTTGTACGAATATGAGTTTGTATCTATGCAGATACTTTTATCGCAAGTCGGAGATCTTCCGCCACAATTCCTCAGGAGAAACTTTCGCCTATCCAGCCATCCCAGCTTCCAGCTTGCCACATTCAACGCACAAGGATTGACAAAATAAATAAATATGAAAATTTACGGCAAAAGTTCGGGCTTATTCCTTTTTATTTTGGCCCTCCTTTACATACGACGGTTATGTGGGTTGTGGCTTTTAACTTTTGCTGCTGAATTTATTGAAAAATCGATTGCGGCATTAAATGCGCCAGACCAAACTGCCTACTGTCGCCCGGAATCCTTTGGCTTTTCGGCAAATCATCCGGGCTTGCAGCTCCCAAACGGGTGCGTGACTCCGTCGAAGTTCACTGCAAATTCCGGGGGCTCTGAAATTTATGCAAAGCGCTCTGTCAGATACTTAAAGTAAACCCAAAGACGCTGCAACTTTTTTTCCACCGCTCATCCGCGTGATGTAAGTTCCTTGGCCTCAGAGGTGAGACGTCCTGCCGCTCCGACGATGGGTAGCAACAGGATTTGCATAAAGTTAAGTTTGAAAAATATGGGGACCCACCGCCCTGGGCAGTGTTCGCGCCTCCGTAAGTGTGTCAGTCGAACCCCCAATGGATTTCATTTGTTCAACAAATCGACAAAGCCTCTAAGTACTTGCCGGCAGACCGACCAAAAAGCTAATAAACAATGTGCAAATTAGGCCACAAATAACCGGTCACATAGGCACTAAACGAAACAAATACCATTCAAAAAATGCAACCCGGCGTCGCGACAAAAAAGCGGTGGAAGCACTCGCAGCCACAATCGAAATAAAAAGCCCCGCGAAATCAAATCAAATATCGCTAATTCTTGCAAAGCTTATTTGCCACAAATTTGGGCAAATTAAAATAATTGCAAGACATTCGCACAAAATCAAATTCTATTTCATTTGATTGCCAATATCTAATTAAATCAGCAAACCGCAAACACAAACAAGCAAGTGCGCAAACACGCAGGCATCTATCTGGTGGCACGAAAATAACAATTAAAATAATTATATTTGCACTGGCTTACATTAATTTGACTCCAGTTTAAAATTAAAACAATGAAACGAAAAATCTGTGGATCTGGGGTTAACCCGGCCGATGCCACGTGTTTGCTTTAAGTTGGAAGGATGTTGCCTACATAATTCAGCGGGCTTGAAGCGGGATCCTTGAATCGGTTAGCCTTGCTTCCACCGCAGCCGACGCACAAAGTTGGTGCCGAAAGCCTCTTATGCCAGAGCCACGGCCCACCCTCTGCATAGCCTCTGCCCTTGGCAGCCATAGCCAGTTTTGTAGTTAAAACTTTAAGTCAACTAAGCGGCTTACCTGCCACACACTCTGATACACCACATGTCACGTGCAACCCCACAAATTCCACTCTCCACCGCTTGCTTAGAACATACGCTTTATTATTATTCTGGGATAATTTTCACTTAACCTATGTACAGTTTAGTTTAGTGTTAGTGTGGTAGTTGTAGCTATAGTTAATTTATGCACTCACTTTGTATACATTTATCAAAAATACAATAATAATTATTTATGGTTATTCTGTACAGTTTTTGAACGCCGCCTCCGACCTCTGCCTTGTCCTGCCCTTCTGACCCGAGTTAAGTTGATTGCCAGCGTCGTTTAGTTATGACTTTTTCATCTCGTTTCGTTATCGGATTACGCCTTAATTATTTACAGGATACGGCTCTGGGAAGCCCTTACATGCTGTACTGATAGCGCACATTGGAGGCCAGCTGGAAAGATTTAGTTATGATATTTATTTATGATATTTTACTAGACTTTATTATTTCATATATTTGTGAAAATTTATGAGAAATTCTGGGTCTTAAGTTTATTGATAAATTATTTTATGAAAAATAAATATATTTTTATTTTCAAATAAGAAATATAGAAAAGTTAAAAACAAATCTTTCAATAGATTTCAATTCAAGATTCCTCCTTACCTCAACGCCCACCAACCGCTCGTCGTACTCGCTGCTGGCCTGCATCGCCAACTTGGCCTGGGAGTGCATAATGGCATCGGACAGGGAGTCCCGCTGATATGTTGAGGAGCCCAGCATCCCGGGCACGCCGCCGGCGGATCCGTTGGACGGCGCCTTCAGGCGGGAGCCTTTGCTGCGGCAAAAGAACTCCACGATGGCCACCACTACGGCCAGGAGGAGGCCTCCGATGAGGATGTAGTAGATCCCGGCCACATTGCTGAGAGAAAGCTCGTTGGGTGTGGATGTCTCCTGACTGTCCAGGTTGAGGGGACACTCGGATTTGTCGTACCACCATTTGTTGCGAATGCTCAGCAGCTCGCCGTTTTCTTTCAGTGTCAGCACGGCCTCATTTAGTCGCTTTCTGAAAGACATAATTTTTAAATAATACATTATTTTAACAACAAGACATTTTTAGATTAAAGTGTGGTAAATATAATCAAAGTGTGATAACCCAGCTCACCTCAATGGCGATCCGATTGGCGTGGCTACGCCGAATCCTTTGGTATCGATATTGCGACCCACTTTCATGGTGTCGCAGGGAGTCCTGGCATTCACGTACTCGTTCTTCGGGGACTCCAACAATAGGGCATACTTTCCCTTGGATGTTCGAACGCGTCGGATACCCTCGTCGTAGGTGTGAACCGACAGATGGGGATTGGCATTCATGTACTCCCACATCTTGTTGTGCAGCCCGATTTGTGAGCGCTGGAATGAATCCTGGCTTTCAGGACAAAGAAAACAAAGGACGCCCGCGTTCGTGCTCACCCTGAAAAAGTCCCAGGTGGAGCCGTGCAGCAGGGTTCCGTACTGCACGTCTGTTTGCATGGCCAAGTCCTCCGGCGACTTGATGGGAGCCACCATTCGCTCCACGGTGAGAAAAGCAGCCAGGTTGGCGGTGTACGAGGATATAAGAATGATGGTGAAGAACCACCACACGGCGGCTGCGATTCTTCCGGCGATGGAGGGAGGTGTCAAATCGCACCCTTGCTGCATGAAGGCGGCCAGGGAGTACCAGAAGGAGTTCAGCAGGCTGAAGTCATTAGGCGGAACAGGAGGCTGCAGGGGCTGCGGTTCGCTGAGGGTGGCGCCCCCGATGATGCCTGGCGGTTGCTGGGCTGTGGCATCGGGCTGCGGTCGTCGCACGATGCGCCACTCATACGGCGGAAAGCGCGTCACAAAGTACAGGACAATACTAACGCCCACATAGCTGAGGATAACACTCATCTGGAAATACACACGCACCCATCACACTCGATGGCCCAGAGCTATTGGTTTCGGAAACTTACCCAAATTTCCTGGGACAGTGGGTTCAGGAAACTAAATACTCCTGGAGTCTGCTTCACAGGCTTCTTGATCATAATTGAGATGCCCAAAGTCATGAATGGCTTGCTGAAATCAATCACCCTCTCTCGCTCGGCTGTGATGGTCAGAGGTCCGATGGCCAGGTCGGCCTCCTTGCGCACCAGTTCGCCCACCATGCCATCCCAGCCCCCAGGAGCGTACTGATTCTCGGCTCCGTAGTTGCCGTCTTGCACCAGACGAAGCTCATCTGTGGGAAAGTGGGTTTAAGTTTTGGGTTAAGGAATTAAAACAAGCTCCTTGTTTGACTAATTTAACCAGATTCAGATGTATTCATTGCTAATTCTGACACAACAACGGTTTCAACTCACATTTGATTCCCAATTGGGCAGCCAACTTGTCGGCGAGGTCTTTGCAGTAGCCCTCGAAGCGCTCGTTGCCCACCAACTCCTCACCGAAGGACTGCCGGTGCATCAGATAGGGCTTCTCGAGGACACTGCTTACAATGTATGTGTGATTCCGGGCGTAGTCCCCGGTGCTGGCCGACACGGATCGGGACGATGCAGCATAGCTGCGGCTATTGAGCGGCAGGAGCCCCACATCGTCGCGCCATTCGGCCACCTGCTGCAGGGTGCTGTTCACGGACATCTCCACCACGTGCAAGGTGTAGTTGATGCGGCGACCGTCCTCGTCGAAGCGGATCTCTCCCGACAACCCATCGATTTCAACCTGGCACATAAAGAACATTCCACAATTGGTGACTGCACTTAACAAAAGCGATAAAAGCATTCCTTGAAACTAAGGCAACACTGCGTATGAGCGATATTAATCGAAGGCTTAATTTAATGACATTCAAGATATTTTAATTTATGGCTTCCCTTGGACAAAATGAAGCCGGACGATGGGATATCCCTGTCACTCACCTTGCGCAGCACTCGGGAGATTTTCTCGCCCTGCTCCCAGGGGGTCACCCAGCCCTTGCTCGTGTTGCAGTCCAGCAGGGCACTGGATTCGTTGGTTCCGGTGGCGGAGGAGGACGACCCACCGCCGTGACTGCGGCGCTGCAGATGATTGGAACGGAACTGATCCGGCTTCTTGCGCAAAATGCGATTGAAGGCTTCGACGAGGACGAAAACCGCATCGTACATCAGGGCGGCCTGGGCCTGCAAAAACCAGTGATGGAGGTTCAAAAGGGGATCAGGGAGTTAGCTGGTAGTGCAGGCCAAAAACAAATCAATGTCGCTGAGCAATTTACCGAAATAGCCGGCAAGCCGTTGGCTCCCACTGAGTTCTGGCTTTGACCGTTGGGCTCCAAGCGCTTCCGGCTGTCGTGGAAATCACGCACAGCCCTCCGGTTGGAGTCGACAATGCGAAAGCCGGTGATGTTGATGGCCCCGAACTCTACCACATCAGTGGGCCAGTGGTTGTCCATGACCTGCGACAAGGAAAATCATATTTATCTAACTTTTAGCAGAAACAGCTAATAAAAACCAAAAACAAGAATATCCAAAACGGAAGCCAGCTATAATAGGTTATTAAAACCTACTGGGGGGCTTGGAACACTCACCAAGCCGCTGAGCAGGTAATGATAGGTGCGGCGGCCCAGCTTGATGTCCCGCACATGCTGGATGATGATCTCTTTGGCCATTTCCGCCGGGCAGTCGAGCACTATGCGCTTTTTGCTGAAACGGCCCAAATCCTCCAGCGTGTGCAAAAACTCAATGGCCATCGTTACGTTGGCGATGCGTTTCACCATTTGCACACGGAATGTTTCATTTCCGGGCTTCAGTTCTTGATAGATTTGCTGCAGCCGTAGTAAGCCTGTCGGGCACCCAAAGCGATTGTCGGTCAGTTGAACAAGAGAGTGCTCCTGATCCGGGAGCAGGAGTAGGAGCAGAAGCAGAAGCGGGAGCGGGAGCTGGTGGTGCAGTTTGTGGTTGTGTTGTGCTGGTGATTTCTGTATGGTGGTTTTTGGTATGCTGTGTGTGTGGTGTGGGGGTGGCGGGCCATAAAAAACAATCTGATAATGCAGTCAGCTGAGGAGCAGCTTTGGGTTTCATGATAATGCCTGCAATCTATAAACAATTTCCAACTTGAATGAATTTACTCGAATAGATTTATCTCTCGCAGGAAACATGTGTCATTTAATCATATTCCCGGGTCTCTTTTTTGCCCGCATATCCCACACTGAAGCTCCACTCCGTCTTTCAATCTCGCCTGCCTTCGAAATCCCTCTCAAGCCACAAGGACCAAACCAAAAAAATACATTTTCACACGCCATTTGTTGCACGTCCAATATGCCCCTCAATGTTCCCGTTGTTGTTGTCATTGATTTGCTGCCTGCATTGATTCGCTGGATTCCCAAAAAAAAAGTAAACATTCGCACACACATATACAAAATCGACAAAAAAACAAACAGAAAACCGAGAAAACAAACCCACAACCGGCAGGGCCGGGAAGGGCGGCCGGGACAGTAAACACTCGCGTGAAAAAGCGGAAACGGAAGTGCACAGACAATTGAAGTACTTTTTTGTGGTGTGCTGGTAACATTTCAATAAATAGCAGCCCGAACCCCAGCGAACCGAAGCCAAAACAAAAAATTGGAAATCTCTGAATGCGTGTCCCGTATTGGGGGGCTGCTGTTTTATTGAATGTTTCCTATGTACGCGAAGGATCGCTGGTGTATTGCTTTTGCGCCGGCACTCTTGTATTCATGAATGCGCCAAAAAATATGCTACCAATTTGTCGCCGTGTGCAGCAGCTTCGGCTCCGCCACTCCCCTAGCTCTCAGCCTCCAGCCCCAGCAAGAGTGATAACAAGGCACAAAAAGGCCAACCCCGCTGGAGGGGGAAAGGGGCAGAACTGAACAAAGCAATAACAACAAACTGCTGACAGCAGCATTAAAATATAAAGTCCCGCTGTGGCGCTGCCTCTCGTTAACAATGTAAGCGCCCAGAGTCGAAGTCGGCCAAAAAATCGGCATCGGAGTGGGGCATCGGAGCAGGATGCTGAAGGATGCTACTGCTTCTGCTTCTGCTTCTGCTGCTGCGGCATTTCCTTTTCCTGCAACGAATGCCAGCGGCAACAATGTCGGCCTACTTTCGGCGCCGAGGCAAATATTAAAAAATGGCCCCGAAAAAGAAGGAAAATAATAATAATGTTAAGGCTGGCAAGAGCCAGAAGCCAGAAATGCCAGAAACTCACTGAAGGCAGCAGTTGCATAAAGTCATAAATTTTATTTCACACAGAGTCATTAACACATGACACTCACACACTCGCAACGGCACACACACAACGGCGTGTGAACTCATTATAAAGGAGACAGAGCGGGAGGGGCGAGCAGCGAACAATGGCGAGGAAAAAATCACTGCGGCGTATACGTAATATTACGTATACGTCTACGTAGCCATATGAGATTTTTACCAAGCTCCAAGACCCACTCTCCCCCTCCCCAATTGCTCGGTGTGTGTGTGTCTCTGCCTCATCTGATGTCTTCATCTTTGGCCGTAATTGTTGCCGTCGTCGTATTGTCCCACGTAGACGGCAGGAAATTGCTTTGAAATAAATTTCAATACAACAAAAAGCAAAAGGCTGCCTAAGACCACTAACCATACAGCATATAGACAACCCATTTCATACAACGAAAATGGACGCAAAAATTTCTTGCGACAGGCCCCAGCAGGCCCCAGAGCGGATTTCTTACGCTCTCATACGCTCATGGTTCGTTCATCTTACGCTCATTCTCTCATTAAATGTTTTCTGTTTCTCAGTCTCTAAACGGAGCGCGATGAAGAAGGTTGGCCTGCGCTTGGTTGATCTTCGTATGTATGCGTGTCACACATTCACATACATGGGTGTATGTGTGCGTGCGATTTCGTTTCGAAGCCAGCGCACAAAATTTTGATTTTTCTTACTTTTCAGGCTTGCTACCCTAACAAAATTCGGGTATTCGTTATTTGATGAAATGACGAAAGAAATTATATTATTTTTATATTCTATTTTTTATTATTTCAGCATACATTTTTAATTTATTTAGGAATAAGATTGAGTGTTAGTAGTAAAATGTTTTCTGTATATATATTTTTACGAATCATTAAAAATCAATATACTGAGAATATGTCAGAGTATATTTCGGTCGGAGTCACTTAAACAAATTCGAGCGGCGACTTTTTAAAGTTCCAAAATATATAAGGAAATTATTAAATTAACGACAATAATTTAATTAAATCTCACAATAACCCAAAATAATAACAAGTGCCTGAAAAATTGTAAACAAAAAAGGTAAACAAGTCCATGAGCTGTTTTCGGTTCTTCACCCTCCCCTAAAAATCATTCCATCGTTAGAGTAGGCATGCACAAGCCTCTTGCAAAACAACAAAAACTTAAAAGCAATCGGCGTTTTAAGTGACTCCGACTGAAATATACTCTGACATATTCTCAGTATATATATTTTTAATGATTCGTAAAAATATATATACAGAAAATATTTTACTACTAACACTCAATCTTATTCCTAAATAAATTAAAAATGTATGCTGAAATAATAAAAAATAGAATATAAAAAATAATATAATTTCTTTCGTCATTTCATCAAATAACGAATACCCGAATTTTGTTAGGGTAGCAAGCCTGAAAAGTAAGAAAAATCAAAATTTTGTGCGCTGGCTTCGAAACGAAATCGCACGAACACATACACCCATGTATGTGAATGTGTGACACGCATACATACGAAGATCAACCAAGCGCAGGCCAACCTTCTTCATCGCGCTCCGTTTAGAGACTGAGAAACAGAAAACATTTAATGAGAGAATGAGCGTAAGATGAACGAACCATGAGCGTATGAGAGCGTAAGAAATCCGCTCTGGGGCCTGCTGGGGCCTGTCGCAAGAAATTTTTGCGTCCATTTTCGTTGTATGAAATGGGTTGTCTATATGCTGTATGGTTAGTGCTAAGACCCAGCCACACAAACGCACAAAGAGCGGGGTAAGCCCGGCCATACATATGTGTGCGCCACCGGGGATGTGTGTGCGTGTCCTTCTCCTGGCTGCTTAAGCCCGTTGAGGAGCCACTCGAAAGAGCACACTTGGCAGCACTTGAGCCCGCTGTCTGTCGAGCTCTCCCCCCATTTTCCCCATTTTTTTTTTACTTAGTAGAGCCCCCGCTCGACGCTCTTTGTGCCGCTTATTTAATTACATATTAGCAGAAATGAAAAGGCACGGGCCGGAGAACGAGCCCGAGCCCGAGGTCGTGGGATTAAAAAGGGCCACATCATAGAGCTGCCAGATGGTTAATATATGAACGTATGTCTGTTTGTGTGCACACTGTACAGTAAAGTCAAACTAAAAAAATAGCTTTCCATAAAACAGAGAGGTGATTGTACCCTTTTTCAATTAAATTTTAAAGTTTATGCCTTTACGAGTCCTGATTAAAACTGCATATGTTGGAAGCTGGCAAATCCCATTTATTTTGAACAGTAACTCCCCCCGGCTCTCGGCCAGGACCCTTTCAACTGACACACTTAATCCCCAGATGAAACACTGCCATAACCGCTACTTAAATCCACTCCCACTCTCCAATCGACGCCTTATTTGTTTACGGCAATGAAAGTCAAATGAAATGAAATCGAAACACAAAGCAACCAAATGGGCAAACAAACAAGGCCGGGAGAGATAATGTTTGGATGAATGTTTCGGGGGGGATGAGGGGGGCGAGGGATGTTTATATGAAAACTCACCATCGTGCGAGTCGTAGAGATAAATAATGCTCTGCCAGCCGTAGTACTGGATGGTATCAATAATCGCCTGATGATAATCCGGACGCATGCTGATAGCGAAATCCAGGAGGCCCGACGACGGGGTGAGCACCTAGAAGTATGCAAAAACCAGAAACCGGAGGCAGTCCCATGAACTGGCTGTAACAATGTAATGTGCACGCTACATGAAGCAATAATAAAATGAAACGCGTTTCCGCTTTGCGCCCCGCCAGCGACACACATGTAACTCTATAACTGGGGGGTAGGACAGTGGCAGTGGCAGGGACAGAGGCAGGGAGCGAAGCGGGACAACGACGCCAACAAGCAGATACATCCAGTGAGATACACAATGATAGTCCCTTCCGTTTAGCTTCACATAAGCATACACAATTCAAAATCGGGCACAGTTTTTAATAAAATTATAATATTTTGAGCTAAAATAATACTTAAAGAGATTAACTAGCATACTAATATAGTTTGTACTTTTATTATAAATATTAAAAAAAATAAAAATATATCTCAGTGTAAAGGATCTGCCCGGAGGAGCACGCAAATGCGCAGTCCGTGTGTGTACTCTGGAGCCTTGCCTGCTGGATGCCTGGAATCGGAGTCAGAGTCGAAGAGGATGCCTTCGCCTCCGATGTAGTCCCTGCTCCTGCCACTGCCACTGCCTGTGGCCTCGTCGCCATATCTTGATTTATAGTGATTGAAATAAAAGAGGCCAAGAGCGTGTCATAAATTTTTTCGCTCTCAGTGTAGGAGTCACTGCTCGCTTCTCGTTTGGCATTGTCTTCTGCCTGGCGGAGCGGTTTGGGTTTTTGTTTCGCAAGTGACAACAACACTCCACCACAACAACATGAACTGTTGTCCCAGCGGTTGTCTGCCTTGTTCTTATTGTTGTTGTTGTTGGTAGTAAATTTTCTTCAAATTACAATTATTATGATTTGTGCTTTGGCTTTGATTTAGTGCAGGAGGGGGTCTGAGGGCCCAGCGAACACCCAATTGGGTACTGGCTGAACTGTGAACTGTGAACTGGCAACGACACCCACTGCTCCACTTTGTGCAATGACTTCATTTTCCCAAAAAAAAAGGAATAAGACTTGGCTTTTACCGAAGGGGCCAAAAGCCATGGCAATTCTGGTGAGGTTATGAACCCCGATTTGATGTTCTTCTTAATCGAATGTTGGCTGCCATGATATTAATCTTCATAAAAATTTAAACACTTCGGGATTTAAGTAGGATATATCATACTTCTACGGACCTATAGACATCCTGCTACTTCTTTTTAGACACAATAGAAAGCCCCTATTTATTGTTTCTGATTCATTTATTAGACGACTCCATTAAACAGCCAAGTACATAATTAAATATTGACTGGGGCTCCCTTTGTTGCATCACCCTTTGGCCGGGCTTCATTATCGCATAACTAAGTTAACTGAACCCACCATCACACCATCACTGGGGGCGGTGATACCCCTCCCATCGCTCAGACCGAAGCCACAAAATGTAAATAATTGCGCACAGCGACACTGAAATCAATTACATATGACGCTTTTTTCGCTACTCCCCGGGCTCTCAGCTCGGAAGTGAAGCGGGGAAGTGGGACTTACCTTCTCGGGGAACCAGGGCGTCACAAACGGCATTTGGAACGTATTCGAGTAGGAGTGCAATGTGTCAAAGGAGTCCGGCGACACGGCGCCCAGCATTGAGTAGACTCCGCGCGAGAATTGATTGCAAACTGGAGGTTACAGTAATAAATTCGATTTGTGTTTTTTTTTTCTTTGTCGTTACGTAGGATAGTGGGTGGAAAATTGATGGTGGTGCGGGTAGTGCTGGGAAAATGGAAAATGGAGACAGTGTCTAGGTCGGGAGCAGAGTGCGCACAATTAAATTGCAGCTTTGAGTGCGGAGTGGAGACGGTAAAGTAAAACCAATTTTCAATAAAAAATGCGCATAATTAATGGGAGCCATGTATTGTGTAATGGTTTTTCCAGTTTTTTTCCTAATGGGGGAGGGGAATGGTGATTGGGGACCAGGGGGCGTGAAACAAAACACATACTCAGGCGAGATAATTTGAATGCATCCGCCGTATTGATGACGTCGACGTACGCCTGCAGCTCGAAGCGACGCGAGCTCACATTCAGGTTGTGATTGAGCATTGCATATTTAAAGGCTGATTGCACATCATCTGTGCCCTGCTCGAAGATCGCACCTGCGGGAGGAAATAGAAGCAGGAGAAACGGTGAAAAAAATGTGAAAGTCAGGTGGATGTGGAGTGGGTATATGGTAGATGGGGAGCTCGGGCGAATATTTTTGCTTCGTTAAATATTTAGGCGGCTTTTGACACGGTCCTGTTAATATTAAACGAAAAAGCGCACAGAGTAAATATGTACACAAATGATAGCATAATGTCACACCCACACACCACTCACAGACGCCTACACACCCAGGTATCCACAGACATCCAAGTAAGCCGCCCCGACAAGCAACAACAAAGAGCGCAAACGAAGTGTTGATGCAGCAATTTTGCGCTGCGCTTTTGCATGGCAGCTGAACACCCGAACACCAGAACAGCCAGCACCAGGACCTGCCCCAACACCAGCCAGGATTCGAGTGCAAGCCAGTCAGCATGACTGTCACATTAGCAGCCACCAAGCAGATATATAAGCGGGCAGGTGTGGCAGGAAGGTGGCTGCGAGTGCAGAGGGCCAAAATGACTGCAGGTGCAATGACTGAAGCGCCATCGTGTAATAAAAATAAGGTGGCACAAAGTGAATGGCACGAAATAAAATGTGGTGCAACTGGGCGGGTTGCGGGGTCCAGCCGTGCCTTTCGCCACCAGGCCAGTAAGTACACGAATTGGGAATTTAATATTTAATTCAAGAATCTTGAAGCATAACTTTTGAGAGGGCTCTAAGTTCCATTTTCCCAACTAAATTTCAACAAAAATAAATGCTCTTCATTGAAACTTCTAAACTATGTCACAATATCGAGTACAAAGCGGCCCAAATAACTTTGTTTTTCAAATTAAATTTCCACAGAAACTGTAAGTAAATCGATTAGTTGTGTAGGAAGCCAGAGGGAAGTAATACAAGAAAGATCAACAAGCTCCGGAGGAAGCACAATATTGGAGATGAAAGAATTTCATAACTCGACAAACAAAGTACTTTAAGGAAATTTAAAATTGGTCTTACTAATACTCGGAATACTTGGAAGCTAAGGTCCTTAAAATAAAATTTAACAACCATGTTAATTATGAAAAAAATTTCATAATAAATTATAATAAATAATTCCCGAACCTATCCTACCTAAGCTAACTCCAAACTGTGAAGTAAAAACCTAATAAACCAAACACTTCATTATTTTTTATTTAAAACTTATACCATGAAATATTTTATCTGATAATAAAATCAACTTCCATTAAATTTAATAACAAATCTAAACACCACCCAAAATCTCAGTAAAAAATCGACACAAGTCCTAAAAATCAAGTTTAGTGCCCGGCTCTGGCCAAGTGAGGACAGGTCAGGGATAATCTTCAGGCATCAGCCATACCCGATTTCCCCGACGAGCCATGGGGCGAAATCCATTCCGGGAATCGGCCAACACACACACTCACCCACTTGCACACACACTTTGGAGACACAAGAGCACAACAGGAGGAGCGTTAACGGCAGCCGAGGAGCACATTGTGGCCAAATCCCAGCTACAAGTGCAGTGGCAGTGACAATTTCTGCTGCATCCTGCGGCACAAGGATGCTTTCCCCGATCCGGCCCGCACGCCCTCCGCCAGCTTCTGGCTCCTGGCGACGCTTTTGAGACTCACCTAATGGTATTTTCTCGGTTAACGATGCCGCTTGCTGCTGCTGCTGGGCTGCGCTGAATTCCAGGCAGCATATTAAATGTAAATATGCCAAGAATTTTAGCCTCGAATGCATTTTTGCTTGTAGTCGGTTGTAACAGTTCCTCCGAGTTTCTTTCACTGTGGGGTTCGAGTACGTTTGTGGGTTAAATTGCTTGGGCCATCACTGGTATCGTGTTTTTGTTAAATTCACACTCCATTTATGTTTTTAGTTTCACAACTGTTTTATTGCTTTATCTATTCTTTCCGATATATCCTTGAGATATCTCCGATTTTGATTTCCATTTGAACACTGGGAACTGCTTGAACTGTTTGGGTTTTCACGTTTGTGTCTCACTTTAATGCCACTGGCTTTAACTTCGGGTGGCCCATCAACTGGGAGCTGCTGCCTCTGCCTCGCCGAGAAAAAGGACTTTCATCCGCTCACTTCAACCAAACGGGCACGCGTTGTAATCAGCACTAAACCCAAAAGGCTCGGCCTAAGAAGTGTGCCTTTACACACAGGACCCGAGACCTAAGCCGATGCTCCCTGGCACTCAGCGACACGGCGACAAAGCGACAATCGGTGCTCTGCGTTACTGGGGGATGCCCAGTCACATGGGAGAGGCCATCCTTGGGATGCTGTGCTCTTTGTACTAAAAACCAGGCTCTCTTGCGTCTGCAAAGCGCCGGAACTGGGAGAGCTTAAGAGAGCGCTTGGCCAGGGTGAAAATAAGCCACGGATGCTGTAACTGACCTACTGCATTCTGGCCCACCCCGCCCACCAATCCCCACTGCAAGTGGGTGATGTTGTTGCTGTTACTGGTTAAATGTTTGTTTACGTTATGCCTGCGTTTTTGGCTGCATAATTGATAACAACAGCTTGCCGGAGCAGTCGCTGGGGGGCGTGTGTCGCCTCGTAACTCTCGCTAATTTCGGCCTTTTTTATTCCCCCTTGCGATCTTTTTTTTTGGTAATTACTAATGATTTGGACGAACAATCCTTTTAACAAATCTCATTACGTTGTCAATTACGCGCCATTACCAAGAACGAGGCTCAGACTGCCGGCGCTCTGAAATCTCATTAACAGGCTTTAATTTTCAAAACAAACTTAAGTGCGCCAGCGACGAAGGAACTCATCCAGCGGCACTTTCACGAGTTCTCGTCCTCCAAGCTGGCCACGCCCACTGGGCTCCATATTGTCGAGGTCTCGCGGCGTACGATTTCATCATAATCTGTAATTAGTTTATAATGCGCACAGGAAATGCTTGGGAAAAGCGCAAGGACAGGAAGTTGGATGGCTGTGCACCGAAAAAATCAAACAAAGAAGCGATAGTTTCCAAAGGACATTATTCCTTGTCTTAGCAGCAGTCCAATAGAAGTGAAGTTTGAGGTAATCCTGGAACAAAAAAACATTTTTTCGCTGTGCAGCCACGAACAAGGCCAACAACTCCCCGCTTAACCTACAGTCATAGCCAACTGCGATTAGGGGCCGTGGCCGAGGCGAGTCGATAAACATAAAAGTTAATGGTGAAATTTTTTAATTAAGAAAATCAATGAATATTTTTTGCTGCTATTTTTTCTCAGCAGCTTCCTGTCCTTTCATTTCGCTTTCTAGACTGCTGCATTATGGCTATTTGGCCCTAAGCTGTTTCTTGTTGGCTGTTGGCTGTTGGATGCCTTCTATTCCCGCCATTTTAACATTTATGACTTGCGATTTTCACGACTCTCGGGGATAATGGAAAGGACTCTAAACAGGAGCGAGGAGGACGCGGAGGAGCGTCTTGGAAAGCGATTTGCCTTTTATATTTAATAAGCTCGGAAACAAACTTGCTTTTAATGCAATTATTTAATGCAAACGTCAATAAAATTTAATTGCCTTTTTTACGTGCTGGAATTGTTTCGGTTTTTTGCCATTCGAGTCACTTTTTGTCTATCTGGCTCCGGCTATTTAATTATGAATTACAATTTATGCGGCCGCCTAAGTCAACACAACACAGAGCAGGGAAAGCGTTTAATTAAATTGCAAAAACACAAAATAAAGGCAAACACACAGCAGCAGGACTGCTTAAAGCCGCAACAAAATCAAAGCCGCAAGTACAAAGATAAATAAGTGGCATTGTCGGTTTCATTTCCGGCTGCAACATTTGCATTCAAATCGCAGTGTCTGTGTTAGCCCGATTGTGTGTGTGTGCGGCTTTGTATGGGTGTGAGTGTGGATGTCGGTGTAAGCGGTATATAAGTAGACTCCCAACTGGTTTTATATTTAGGCGTTTGCCTCCGCTAAAAGCACAGAAAGAAAGCAATAAAAAGCAGCACGCCGCGAATACGAAGCCAACTGATGGGTCTGCCACGGGGTGGGGTGGGTGAATGGGCCGGGTTGGCTTGGGGGGTGGCTAGCAGCAGCTGTCGCTTCCGCCCAGCCCCCCAGCCGTCCATCCACCCATCGGCATTGGCTGCCGCGACTTGGCCTCGACTGTCTTTCAGTTTCTCACTTCATCAGTTACGCCAAAAAGGAGACTCTACAATAAATTTCGCTGATTGCTTCCGTTTTTTTTTTCAGCTGCCCCTTCGCATCTACGCTGGCTCATTTTTTATGCCGCTTGATAAAGTAATATCCGTTTTAGGTTCACTCGGTTGTAGGTCCTGCCAGCTAGACCTGGAGGCAGTTTTGTGGACTCTACAATACCCTCAGGACACGCAAGAGGTTGGCTCAAGAAGTTGAAAATTATATAGCTATTAACCTAGGAATAGATTGCTTTTAAAATTAAATTAAACAAAGTATACAATAAATTAATATATAATAAAAAAAAATAGATATACTATATTTCAGCCCTTTTTAATACCAGTACCTATTTAATGCCTCCAATGAATTTTTAATGCTCCCCATAAAACCGCTCGTCTGCCACTTAGTTTCCCCCAAAAACCCAGCCACTTCAGCGGCAACAACATAATTAAGGGGTATTAACTACAAGGTATACAAAAAATGTCAGTTGCTGCAAGTAATGTTCCAACTTTTGGCTATAATTTGGGCCCCCAGCCGCCCTCTAATCCCCTCGCTCTCACCAGCTGCAGCAGTTTTGCGGGTCTAACACAGATTTGTGGCCATGGCTTCTGGGAGAGGGTTCGGTGGCCCATGGGGCGTATGCGTCATATCAGAGCACGCATACGCTCTGTAGGTCAATGCTGTTAGGCCAAAACGAAAGCCATTGCCACAGGCAAGTGTGTATATGTGTGTGTGGGTGTGAGTGTGGGTGTAGGTGTAATTGAAACTTCCGCTTTGGTCAGTTAGCGCAATTTAGCAAGCTGCAAAAAAGTTAGGCACGGCTGAAGTAACAGGCAAAGTGCAAAGTCCATTGCAGCTACTTGGCTTTCATTTCAATTTAAACTTTTGAAAGCCAACCCCCCCACACACACACACACTCAGACACTCACGGACATCCGCTTACATATAGAGTCAAGGGGCAGACATGGAGAGTAGAAATTATTTAAAATGATTTAATTCACAACAATTTTCATTAGGTGGCCGACTGCAATGCAGGTTGCCAGTGCCCCCCTCTGCTTTTCCTTTTCCCCTGCCCGCCACTAATTCACTTTTGCTGATTTCTGTGAAAAAATATGCGAAAAATGGCTTGAGAGGGGCGCAGGACATGCTCATGTTTCATATATGAAATAATTATATGTGCGGTCAGCACAGTGGCTCTGAAAGGAACCGAAAATGGCCGGCGACTGGCTGCGGGCAGTGCAGCAGTCCCTCTATGTGTGCTCCCCTTTTATGTTATCCTCCTGAAGGTCCTCTGCCCAAAATGAAAGAAAATATACAAAATTTGTGGCACTGCTACATGCCCCATGATGCCTGTTCCATAGCATAACTTTCACAGAGATTTTACTCCCAAGCGGGTCACGCCTTCTAGATAAGGTTGTTATTAAAGACAGTTATATTCTAACATTTTAGTACTGTTGCTTATTAAATCTATGGTGATTATAATTGAAATTTGAATAATTATATTTTCTAATATTCTCTTCTTAGACCACCCCCTTTACCCCCCAGCCACTGCCCCTCGTTTGGGGGCAAAAAATTAGTGACAAAGAAGTTGCAAGCGGAAAAATGGCCAAAGGAGAATGCAACTGGCAAAAGGTTAACAAGCGTCAGACAGGCCAGCAGCCAGCTCTGGGAATTAGCCAGCAGCAACAAGACAACAAAAAAAGAGCATCTGAAAGAGGAACTTATAATTTTTGGCCACCATGCCACTCGGGCTGCCTCCGAAAAAAAGGAAAAATGGCTGCCAAGGACCCGGGCAAAAAGAGGAATGTTAATGAAAAGCAAGCGTGAAATAAAATCATAAATTTTGCAGCGGGGGAGGGCGAATGCAAGTTGCCACTCCACTCTTGTTGTTATTATTTGGCATTTATATGCACATACGAAAGAGATGGAAAATTAGGGGGCAAGGGGGGAGGGCGCTGGTTGGAGCTAGACTGCATTTGTGGTAAGCTGCCCGATGCATACAACTATAATGTTCTACTTTGGCTCGGAGCACTCGCGTGTACGTGTGTGTGGTGGGGCTTGGCAAGGATTTTCCGCCAGAGTCCAGAGTCTAGACTTGGTCAGCTAAGCTGGAGATGAGAAGTCGTCAGAAGGGATGGGGGACGGGCCGTGCTGATGAAGTTGATGAGGGTACGAGCTATCAGAAGTAAAAGATGGCCCTACAGCAGGGAAAGATGTGTGTATTTTGGCAAAGTTGAATTAATAACAAGAGCTCTCTGTGGGCGGGAATTTGTGTTCCATTTCAGTTAAGTCCTGTAATAGATTTGTATTTTTTTGGAAAGAGCAAGAAGGCCCCAACACCAACCCCCATGAAAGCTTTTATATTTGGTTTGAAACTCGGCTAGAAGTTCAAAAGTTTGCTAAAAGCTTTCTTTATGCCACCTTGCTTTCGTCACGAATTTATTTCAGTCGGAAGAACATCCAATAAAATGCAGGTTTAATATTTTAGAAAATTGTGTACATCTTTATTATTTCTTTAACTACTTTTTGGTTGAATGTTTCTGGTTTTTGGTTGATGTTTCTCTCATAGATATTTCGAACTTATCGTTTTTGTTTTTTAGCCTTTCTGGCAGCTTGAACTCAGGCAGAAACAATTCGAGGCGACTTCTGTCCTAAACATTAACTAATAAAATGCATAAATCTGTTAACAATTTGTGTGTTGCTTCGCCGTTGGTTTGGTGTGCTTACGTAATTAATTCGCTATGATTAATGCTAATCTGATTGTTATTGTTATTTATGCGATTTAGCTAGCACTTCGTTATAGGAGTTAAAGCCAAGAACCGAGTAACGGCAACATAGTTTCGAGTTCAACGCATTTTCTCTCTATGTAAATATATATATATACTATATATGTATGTTATTTGTGTGTACATTATGAATGCATGTGTGTGTGTATAAATTCCATATTCTTTGACAATTGCACAACAGTTAAAAGTAATAGTAAACAATTAATAAATCATTTTAGATATGGCCGGGGCCAAATACGATTTGCACTATAATTCTTGTGTGTTGATTAACTTTGATGTAGTTTTTGAGTGAGATATCCCTAGAAGTATGCAGTAATTTCCTAAGTTTGTAATTAGTTTTCTTTACTTTGATCTGTTAAATGTAGTTCTCTTTTATTTCATATTTTTGTTTGTATTTTGAGTCCAGCTACAAAACGTTGCATAAAGTTGTATAAAAGTTTTGGTATTTTCATCTCAAGATTTTTGTTTTTTTTTGTTTTTTGTTTCCATTTGACTAGCGAGTAAATACAAAACCCAATCGATCCGCAGATGACAGTTCAACCTACACACACTCGTATATAACTGCGTGTATATAAATAACTCTATATAGTATTGTTAGAAACGGCTGCTATAAAATCACTGCCACAGTTTGGCCAGCACTTGTCCCCATAAGACTAACGTAATCATTAACTCTATGTATAATTAATTCATAAGCGCTAATATTCGTTTAATGCAACAAGTCTATGTGGGATCGTCAACTCCTCTGTTTCTGGTTCCTGTTCCACCACTAGCACCCGCTCCTGACCCTCCAGCTCCGGTACTAGATCCTTCCCCACTGCCCTCTTCCTCCTCCTCGTCCTCCTCATCCTCTTCGTCCTCCTCGTCCTCGTCCTCCTCCTCCTCGTCGTCGGACTGTTCGGATCAGTCGAATATGCAAACAAACACGCGCAGGCAGTTCATCCCGACCCGCTCCCAGCATCCCTCCTCCGTGGGCCGACCCTCGTGGGCCAGCCGCATCTTCTTCGGATAGTTCTTCGGGCTACTCCGGTCGCTCAAGTGCACGGGCATCCTGGCGTACTCCGCCCGGGGCTGGCGGAACTTCTCCAGCAGTTCCGTCTGTTGATCGGTGAGGTTCTTGAGCTTCTTGCCTGCAAAAATAGAAGTCATTTAATTATATGCAATAACAAGTGTATGGCAAATAAACAGTCCAATGAAACTTGCAGTCAGCTTTCCCATTGATATCTCTGATAACTTTTGTGGACTTCTATGGGTATTTAAAAGCAATCACCGATAACAAATCAAAGGCATTTTTATTTTCCTGATTGCAAGTATCGTGTCTGGGAAGTATTTGGGCTTCAAAAATTAAATCATACGGTCCAAATATATGTATATTATAGATTGATCTAACTACTATTGGAGAGACATATGTGAATGAGTAAGCCTCATCCTAAACCAAATTACTTCAATTTTTGTTCATAGATTAGATTAAAAAGTGATTGGCTTAAAAATTCATTCATTGGTTCTTAAACCATCTATGTAATAATTGTAAGTAGGAAAACACTTACCCTCGAGGGCGTCGCTGATAAGCGATATCTCCGTGGGCGGCAGCAGTTCAATGCGCTCGCAGCAGCGCCGGAACTCCGCCGGAGTCATCCGGAGGTAGCGGGGCGTCAGGCACAGAGGCCCGAGCACTGTGCGCCTGTTCTCCGGCGTAGCGTCGATATGCTTGCGGCTGCACTCCGCCAGACTCCACGTGGCCAGGCACTCGAACAGCGTGACCTCCGAACGCAGCTGCAGGGTGTCCCTCTTGACCAGCGTCTCGAGCTCCTCGAATCTCAGGTCGCAGATCTCCGGCATGGAGAGCAGCAGTTCGGCATGCATATCGATCAGCTGGAGTGTGTTGTGCAACAGCGCCACGCCGTAGTCCTCGGTGGTAAAGGGATTCGGGTTGGGGATGAGATTCACCTGAGCGCCGTCCCCATCGGCTCCGTTTTCCTGGGCCTGGGCCGCCTTGGCCTTTGCCGCTGCCTTCGCCTTGGAGGCCTGCTTTCGGGCCAGCTGCTGCCCGGTCTCCTGGGTGGTGATCACTGTCTGGTGCTGGTTGGTCAGGGCAATGCCCTGGTAGAACCACAGCGCCTTGAAGATGTCCAGGGCAGTGGCACTCGAAATGCTGAGATCAAGTTCGCGAATGCAGTAGATGATCTGGAATTCAATGAATTAAATTGTTAATTATTTTTAAGATTGGAAATTTAAGACCTATTTGATAGGCTTCACTCACCAGATCTGGTACGTTGAAGCGATCGGATAGCTCGAGTATCTTGAGCAGGTGCTTGTGATCGCGATAAGGGATGAAGTGCTTCTCCATGTAGCGCACGATCAGCTCAAAGTCGTTCTTGTCGACGTTGAGGATCTGGAAGTGGTTGTCGCTCTTGCGACCACTGTTGGGACCGGCGTGGATCAGCTTGGCCAGCTCCACGCTCCGCTCGAGCACCGACTTCCGCTCACACCGAATCATGTACCGATCATCCCCGTTGACCACGATGAAGTCGATGTAGGGATTCACAATGATGGGGACGCCGGTGTAGATAGTTGTCTGACCCCGGGAATAGGTGGGTGGCAGCATGTGTGCGGGCGGGGCACTCGGCGCCGGTGCGCTCTGAATGGCATCCACATTGTGGCCATCAGGGCCTAATCCAAACGGCAGCACCATCTCCTCGTCCTGCTTGTTGTTGTTGCTGTCTCCGTTGACTCTGTCCTGTTCCGGTGGGATAGGTGACTCCCTCTCCCGACGCAGTGCCTTGTGGACCAGGGCACCCACCAGAGGGAACTTGGTGACACGCTTCTCCTTGGCCAGCTGCTCCTCCAGGTGGGCGTCTCTCTTAGGGGAGCGGTACTTGTTGCCGGGCCTCGGCTCAACGGTGCTGGTGTCGTGGAAGGCAGTGATTTTACTGGAAAGCTGAAAGAATTGGTTAAAGAAGTCTATTATTCAATCAAGTTTTATGGGATGTATAAAGAATATATATTTTTATTGAGAATCGGATAGATAAGTTTGAATTGCTCTGTTTTTATGGAAGACTGACAATATTCAAATTCCAAAACCAACCTGCTTATCTCATACAAAATTTAAAGATTTATTTAAATTATTTATAATATTATTTTATAATTAAATACAATTTCTTCAGACCGAGTTTCCAACATAAAAAGGTCTTGAACAACCCTCCCATTTCAACTATAAGTACTGAACACGAATTGAAAGTGGGAAACTTCTTTCTTTATATGATCAAATGACTTATCCTTGGGAAGTACGTTCTTTATCTGCCCCGCCCATTGGATATGGTTTACGACTCTTGTGAGTGACCAATTAGTCACCCCCGGTATTTCGCAAGCCTGGTAAATCGATATTTGTGTTATATTAGGCGTTGTAAGTACTTTCCCCCACCTTAATGATCGATTCATTGCCCGCTTATCAGTCAATTGGCACACTTCAAAGCATAAATCGTTTGCGGGCCTAAACAGCCTTAATCGCTGATTTTTGCACTCGACAATAAATTAGCCCCCGCTATCTGGAAGTAATGCCCACTAATTAACTAACCAGCCGAGCCCCGAATATCATTTCAATTATAATTTCGGACCCGGACTCTGTTAGCATATGTCCTAATCGTTTGATTGCCACCAACTCGGCTGCAATCCATCATGCCGGAATACTTTGCTATAAATCATTTTCCATATCAGAATATCGGGTGCACGGCTACCTCTTCGACACCCTAATATGGCGCGTGATGTGTTTATAAGTCCCCTCCCCACTGCCAATATCAGCCGATAGCAGGGGAGTCACAGAGTAGGCGGTTAGCTATCCGAGCATTATAATGTCAATAGGACTCAGGTCTCAAGTTCCCTGCTGTAAGTTACTAATTTATTTGAACAGCGAAAAATCCTTTTAAGCAGGGCTCAGGCAAATTGACAAGTTATATCTTCTCAGTTTATTTAAATTATTTAATTTAGTTAAGACTCAATAGCCGATATACTCAATTATAAATGCAAAGATAATCGAGGTAGTTTTTGATTTTTTTGTTAATAATTATAATTGGAATTAAATTATTTTTCTCCGTATGATTATAATATTGGAAAAGGTAAGGAATGTAGGAATTACAGAACCTGTAGCATAACTTTCTGCAACATGTGCCTCAAGTCGAAGAGTTCGTTATTATCATAGATACTTTATTTATATGATGGGGAATTTCGAAAAAAAAAAACATTCTAGAGGTAAACCCAAACCGAATGTTCCAATAAAGAACATTATGTCATAACATATTGTGCTTAAAAAATTCATATAAACAAACATTATTTTGGCATTGTATTTGCAGGTTAATGAGTCACGTGAAAACATTTCCCCGCTTTCGAAAGAAAGATAAATAAATACACCTAACGAATCTATTAACTCTTTTGTTCATTAGTTAGATATATACTTAGATCGTGGTTCTTGTTATTGCCTTAAGTACAGTGCAAACAAAATAATTGTGGCACTGAAAGATTGCAAAGAAACTCGCGGTGCGGTGCCACAAACCAAGAAAAGCCAGCTAGCCAGCCAGCTAGGAGGGGAAATATTAATAAATAAAATAAATTATATGACGATGTTTGAACAGTTGTAAGGAAGACAGAATCGAGCTCTGAGTGTTGACGACTCTGTGACCGCTTCTCGTGACGGATCCGGAGTCGGGGCAGGAACCAGAGACGGGAGGAAGCCGTAACCGATTGCCTTCTTTCTTGAGAGGGCACCGCAACGCCTGATATTTAAATATTTGCCCACTGAACCCACCGAACGACCGGAATGGGAGCAGAGTTGATTCGTTATAGTGTGATAGTGCAATAAATAAATTATCGTGTGCAAATAAATTTATGGATGTTGATCGTCCAACGCGTTATCATCTGCCCAGAAACCACGCTGGAGCTGAGATCTCAGTTTTATGCACAGCACAGGCATCGAATTAGCACTTGAGGGTGTCACAGGCCGATTTTCTTTTGTTTATCAGCCTGGCCTATTATATACAAGAGTATATATAAATGGTGTGGCAGGAGGGCTTCGCCAAGGAAAATCGAGGGAAAAACACAGTTAACAAATCCCCGACCTTGTCTGGAAATACGTTCTTGAACTCTCCAAATTCTGATTCACTATCATATCAATATCATTTATATATCGGGCACTTCTTACACTTATTTGTGGTACCTTCTTATCGGCCCACAGCCCGTTCCATCAATCAATCAAAGGCGATTTATTTCGGCTTGCCGCTGTCTGTGATATGTTGGGTCTGTCTTCGAAGGGAACCCTTTGATTTATATTCGCAAAATGGAATTTTGTAATAGTTTCGAATATTGTAAATCACAAATCGTTAGCTCGGAGGGGATAGGTTCTGTAACTTCGAACGATTTTCTTGGCTGGCGAACCGTTCGCGACGAGTTTGGAAATCCGACTGCCATTCAGTTCCATTTGCAAACTGCGACGTCGGCCGCAGCAGCAGCAGAGGCGGTGGCAGTGGGGGATGTGTCATGATCGTGGATCTAAGAAGGGGAATTATGGGCTTTCGAACCCTAATTGTACGACTAAAACCCTAATCTATAACACGTTTTAAATATTTTCAAAAAACTAAAACTCAAAATTAAAGCGTTTTTTAGTATATGTTACAATGATTATTAAACCGATACCCCTAAAAACCATAATTAATATAAACTCATAAAAAATAAAATTATTTAAGCTCCCCAATAAAAGGACCCGCATACTCTCCTTAAGCTTGCAAAACTCGAAAAAAGCCACCGAAATGCAGGTCGGGCGGAAATGAGCTCGAGCTCTCAGCTTCGACTGCCTCAAGAATCATTCATGATTCGAATTATCAAATCACTTGGGGGACTAACGACTGAGCAGCAAATAAATCAAATTGTTTGCCAAAAAGAAGCCAGCACTGGAGTTTTGAGGGAGCTCTAGGAAGATTTCGCTGTTGAACGTTCCAATTAGCGCGGCGATTTGGAGATTTGTGTGGGCGGTGGGTGGACGCAGAAGTGGTAGGGGGTGGCGGGTGGAGTGGGTGGTTGTGTGGGAGTGGTGGTGTCGTATTTGACAACTGTAATTGTCGCAGGCGTTTTGTGTACGCACGAAATTCGCCTTTTTGATAAGCTAGACAAATAAAATAATAAGAGAATAAACACCAAATGGACATACGTAGAAAAATGTGTGGTTGTGTTCTTCGATGGATTCGACAAATTAATAAAAGAAGAGGCCACTGAAGGTTATTTGTTGCTGTGCAAGAGTGTGGGAGTGTGTAATAATAGCAACAGTAAGAAGTACAACAAGGGCTCAAGAGAATCGTTATTATCAGCGGCCAAGGCCAGGACAAAGCTGCAAAAGCTGCTTCTGGGCTGCTCGAGTTTGTTGTATGCCCAAGTATTTATGCACCCGCGAGGGCAGTCCCAGAACTTGCCGAAGCAAGCTATCAGCTTAGATAAAAGTGGAGGTTTTTATCGACAGGGACTATGGGGATTACATATTTAATGACAAATCAACAAAGAAAGTCAGCCAGTCGGTATGGTGTTATATGGCTTACTTCTCAACCTACCCTCGCTGGAGCAAGGGCCACAATGTTTGCCGATGTTGCTGGAGCAGCGATGACTGCTAATGAGTCCGCTGCCCGACGACACATGTAAAGCGGAAGCCCCAGATGGGGAAAAATAATATGCCGGCCAGAACAACAGCAAAAACTGTTAACAGTTAGCACTCGAACTCGGCCGCCTCACGGACGACCTTGACACTGGCATCCCACCGGCGGATCGGGTGGTCGAATCGGAGCTGTGACAACAGGGCCCACTGTCGGCACACTTCCCCAGCCATTTCCCCGGCACATAATCGGATCGTAAAAAACAAGTTTACGATCGCCGACTCACAATCAAATATTTGCATTCATAAGGAAAAATTTAATTAGCAGCATCAGCTCGGCAATGTGGAGCAGAATCGATATTCGGAGCCAGCCAGCCAGCCGGGCGGGAGGTGAAAATGTTTAATTAGTTTAATTTAGCATAATTACTCACATTGTTGGCTGGCGGTAAACAACGCGGATATGCGTAGTTCAAAACAAACAAATAGACGAGCGAGCAAATAAGCAGAGCCAGGCCATGGGAATCGGCCAAGAAGCCCGAAATGGTGGCCAATCCAAATAGTGGCTCGCTTCCTGAACGACTGCCAACTCTACCTGCAACTACCGCTGGTTGTGTTTCAAAAATAAAACACTTGCCACATTCTTGCGGCGGACCAGGAAAAGTTCACAGCCCGAGCCATACTCCACACTCTATTTATATGTTTCTAATGAGGTGCTTGATTTAAATTAGAAACAAGTACTGTACGATTATGAAACAAGAAGAAAATCCATAAAAAAGTTTAATTGTAAACAAATATAGGCTATAGAAGGTGGGTGGCCACCAAGAACTGACATTTTTGGAGAAAACAAGTAGTTCATAGATCTATTACTAGTGACTAAGACTAAAAGTATTCTCTACAATTGGTGGCCTTCGCAAATGCGATTTGTATCTTGAACTTCGCATCGGAAGCCCGTCAACTGCAGTAGTTCTGATGCGTAATTCAATTTGCCACAGTCCGGCGGCATCGTGGCACCTCCAAGCCGTGACTCCAACTGAGTCACCCATCGGTGCCTGCCCTGCCAGGCCGTGTGGGGTAGGTGGGCGGCATAAAGGCCCCTTCCTATGCTACATGTTATGGACACCGGACAGGACAGCGGACAGCGGAAAGATGACATCATTTGATTTGATTGCCGGGACAGAAAATGCCGTGAGAAAAGTACAACCGAACGCTTTTTATAGGCCCGGAAAATTGCATTACTCATCCAACCCCTGCGAAGATCCAGGGGAGAATATGATTCGTCGAGACTAAGATGACGAGCTACGAAAGCGGGCTAAATAGTGTGCTGGCATTTTGGCCAAGTGCCAAATGAACCAGCAGACACCCGAGCGACCAAAATTTATTGTGAAAGGGCCGGGAATTGCATCAAAACAATGGTCTAAACAAAATTGGTCAGATAGTTTAGCCTTTTGGAAATCTATAAAATTAAAATAAATTTACCATTGAATAAATAACACCTTCATCGCTCATATAGGGGTTTATTCATCCAATTTCTTTTATTTTAAGCACTGGAGTAATATGGGTCGTTGAGATCATATGAGTAATATATGGGTTATACTCGTATGGTTAATATTTTCGGAGATAAAGTCGGTTTCCCAACCAATTTTGATGACATTTTAAAATCCAACAAACTTCTTATCGAATAACACACTAATGAATTATTTTAATAACAACTTGGAATTTACAATTACAATAAAATATAACGAAAAGTTTAGATATTTTTATAAAACTCATAAAGCACATTATACTTCTTTACTTTAAACTTGATCTTTATCTCTAAAATTATATTGTTGTGTTCAATGCTTGAGATGCTTATAACTTTATATTTATGTTTTAAGAAACCTTTATATGGTTGAAATAAAAGGAAAATAAATCAAACAAGTCTCTATTGTGGAGAATCCATTTAAATATTCCTACAAGTAACAAAAGGACAAATTTCCCCGCAGCATTCATAGAAAATCAAATTTTCACGAGCGATCCGAACGGGGGTTTTCCCATTTGGCAGAAGTTGGAGCTAACAAAGGCGACGCTGCCCGAAACGCAAACAAAACAGGAAAAACGGAAAAGTGAAAAAGCGAAAAAGAACTCACCCCCGGCACGTAGGAAAATCGCAGGTGTCGGCGGCTCCGGGGTGGTGTGTGCTGGTTTGGGGTGTGGAGTGTGGAGTAAAAGGCCCTACGCAACATGTTCCATATTCGGCGGGGAAAGCGATAAAAAAAAGTGAAACAGGGATGGGTTGAATGGAACTGGAGCAGGGGCGAAGGCCGAAAACAAACAGTCGAACAAATTTGCAATTGCAGACAAAAGAAATTATGGGTGTGGGGGCTTCTATGAGATGGCAGTGACAGGGGAGGAATAGGCCAATAGCCAATATCAAGAGCGCGACGTGGCGGGGGATCTAGAATAAGAGGGCGATTGGGGTCGAATGGGCAACTAGTTAGAGGATGCCAAGGGCGAAGCGAAAACCAGAAACGAAATGAATGTGGAAGTGGAGTGTAGTGCTGGAGTGCTCGTAACAATTGACAACGCGGCGTATGCGCGATGGATGCCCCTGGCCAGCTGATGGCGATGACAACCGTACAATGAAACACTGACACAGTGAACGAGTTACCCACTCAGTGAGCCTCCCACCCACCAACACACACTCGCACACAATCATACGGTGAAAGTTTCCTTCGAACAGGCTGCTTTCGGCAGTGTCTGTGTGTTTTATGGATACACAATTTATGTTGGCCAATTGCTCGCCCCTCGCCATCCTCTCTGTTTGTACACAGAATTTTTGTGATTAATCACCAGCACGGCCCCCAGACACTTACCCAGGTTTATGGCATAAATTTCCAAATGGCTGTCTTTCAAGAAATGCCCGTTCCCCAATTTATATACTGCAGTCCGTCGATTTCCGCCCGCTATTTGGCGAGTTTTCGGAATGGTTTTCGTTAATTTGTTTATGCCGATCTGCCGACGCGGATATATTCAGACTATATGGGAGATATATAGAGAAGCAGAGTGCACTGGCTGGCTGTTGGATTGTTTCTTTTCTCGACCCGACAGTTTGCGCGCCTCGTGCCAAACGGAATTGGGAAAGGCAGCCAAGAACCACAACGTCTCCGCTCGAGAGCCGAAAAGCGTATATACAACAAAATATTTGGTGCGCCTTCCCCGAGGAGAGCGCCAGGCCAAAAAACACACACCACAACCAGAAAAAAAACAATGCTCCCCAAAAGGAAAACATACCAAATTTCCCGGGCTGGCGTTGCCACCGTTAACCTCCATTTTCACCAAGCTGCCTCCATAAAATTTGAAATCCGAAGGAGCTTTGTCCAGTTTGAGCCTCGGATGGGGAGCTCAAATATATATTCCGTAAAAAATATAGTTATTTTGATGTTGGAATAATGTTGAAAGTGATTTCAAAAGCCCGGCCGTCTGGCAACTTTCCACCTGACTAGGGGAAAACTCTCAGCAGCTTTTCTCGGCCAGACATGCGCACTGCCTCGGACGTCCGGAGAGCGTCCCACAGGTCGTATGAGTGGCCAGAAAGACGCAACATTTTCGAGCGTGTGATAAGACCCACAGATGCCCGTCCGGACTTTCGCTTTCCGGAGAGGGAAAACCCGTGCCAGAGAGTGAGAGCGAGTGCGTGGGCTTTCTAGGGAAGGAGGCCCATTTTCGGACGAGGCCCTAGACAACGGAGCGTCGTATTGAGGGAGGTAGGAAATTTATGGCTGTTATCAGAGAGCCAGCAACAAATATCGGGCAATGCAAACTAGGGGAAACTAGGTCAAATCCCACTAGCCGAGATGTGGAATGCCGTGAACCATTCCGGGAGTATTCATGAGAGAATATTTGTTTACAGTTCGGAGACTTTTCATTTTTTGAATAGTTTGGAATTAAAGTTTAATTGAAAAATATTTAATCCACACCATTAAAATATATAAAAAACACTGGCTTTAAATTATAATTCGTTGTATTTATTGTTCTTAAACTTTATCGATATTGCTGTAATATGTTTATCCTTTAGCTTTACATTTTCAAAATGTCTGAAAACCAAAATTTTCTCGTAGGACACAACTCGTACGATATAAGAAATATTTTGAAAAAATAAATCTACGTTTTATTGGATTTTTAGAGTTTTTTGAATTTAACAATTTTTCAGTGGTACATTTTGTGTATGTAGTGTGGATCCGAGGTGTAGGATGAACTAGTGGATGGGTATAGTGTTGTCTTGTCTAGGGGATGGTACGGCAAATTTGATTCCGCTGTGGGACTCCAACAGGCCCTTAAAATCGTTATATGGGTCGGCTTGAATGTGTGGAATCCAGAAGCAAAAGGAATCGCGTGTAGGTCAGGAGGGAAAGGCTGGAGGCGACTTTGGTTAAACTAGATGCATTAACTGCCAATGGGAGCGCTGATTTGCTCAGAGCCATTCAGTCGCTTAATGGCTATCTTGGCCACGCCCTTGCTGCACTCTGTCGATCCGCCCATCAGAACGAGGAAGAGCCCGTTGTGCGCCACCGAATTCCACAGGCGTTCGATCAGCCTGTCCAGCTTGGCGGCGTTGCGCTCGGCGCTCTCCAGCACAAAGTCGTGCTCGGGCACGCGTAAGTTCGCAATGGTCAGGGCGTTCTCTAAGGCTACCTCGTTGACTTTGCGAACGGCCTCCTTCGGCGTGGACACTTCGTGGACGCGCACGGCCTTGCTGTGGTCCTTGGGCACCGCCTTCTCGGCCTTCGAGATGACATCCCTCAGACGGGGCTGCATGTCTCCCACCGTGACAATGGCCGTTCGCTTGTCGCGCTTGGCCACGTGAGCGAAGAGATTGTTGCTGATCGTGTCTCCGCTGGAGGCGTTGGCCAGCTCCTGGAGGCGCTTGTGCTGAGTGAGAATCTCGTCTCCGAACTCTATACTGTTGGCCAGCTTCATTTTGACGAGCTTCAGGGTGGCCAGAGAATCCTCGATCGAGTCGTGACCCTCCGCGTTATCCTGGATAGTCTCCTTCAGGAAAGTCTTGGCCAGATGCTTCAGTTTGCTCTTCCGCCGTCGTATTCCGGATATGTTGAAACACACGCTGGTATCAATCACATATGGGTGCATCATTCGCATGGCATTCAAATCCGAATTGAGCGACTGGCCCACGAGAATCGCATCCGGGGGCAGCAGCTCCGACACCTCCCTTTGCACCTCTTTCAACTGCTTCGTAACCTTCTTCATGATGTCCTCCGTTATGCCAGAGTACTGAGTTAGGTAGTCCGTTATCCGGTTGTCTGGCATCACCAGCGTCTCGTACACCGTTTGGTACTGTTCGTCTACGATGGAAATTCGGGTCAGCTCGTTGACACCCGCCACCGTCCTGCACATCTCACAGTCCACACCGTACATGGGGCTGCTATTTGTCACTGGAGCATACGATTTCTTGGTGAACTTGAAATGCCGGAAACGATCGTGCAGTTCCCCTTGCAGAGGAATCGGGTAGCCTTCGTCCACCATCTGAAGGGCGGACAACAAGAGCTTGGTGCGCGGGAACTTGTCGTCCGGATGCAGGCCGCTGGCCGTCGGCTCCGATACAGGGCTTTCGATGGGAAAAATGGTCTTCACAAACAGTGTGGGGTCCTTGTTCAGCTCCACGGCCGTCTCCAAGGAACCGTGCTCGTCGATCAGTTTCTTGGCCTGCACATTTGTGAGTGGAATCTGCAATGGGGGTATCATTAGAATCTCGTAAAAGATGTGCTACCAACACTTTACCTGGGCGATCTCGTCGATAATTTTTCCCTCCTCATGGGGCGGCAGCAGCATCTCCAGTTTGGTATTGAAGATTCGATTGGTTGCCTCGAAATGGCTTTCGTTCGATAGGTAGTGGTAAAGAGAAAGACCCTCCAAGATAACGACGACGCTGTGCGATAGACTGAGCCACTTCTCCACGCTGCACCACCGATCCGGCCGGCAGGGACTCTTCTGGCCGATCAGGGCCGACATCAGCAGGTGCTGGATGTCGGTGAGGAAGATGGGCGTGCGCGCGTGCTGCGGTGTCTCCAGCGAGGCGCGCTGGCCCATCTCCCTCAGCCGTAGGCCTGGCGCGTCTTCCAACTGGCGCTTCCGTCGCCGCAACTCTGCCGAGAGCGATTTGTACTGGTCCTGGGTGAGTGAGCACAGTCCATCCATCGGCAGACGATCTCCGCCAGCCTCGTCGTTGCGGCTTCGTTTAAATGCCGGTTCGTCGGAATTATCCGGGCCTTCATGGGATATTGTTTCTTTGTCACACCTCTCCACCTGCGGCTCCGGATTGCTGCGGATGGTAAGGCGGTTCCGAGTCTTCCTCTTGTTTGAGACCACAACGAACCCGTCGTCGGTCCCCTCTCCCGCCGCTGCAGCTGCTGGTGCTCCGGAGCCAGACGCCTTCTCCTCCAGAGCAGCTTCTTCGGCCTCCCGCTTCTTGGCCAACTCCGCCTCGTGCAGTCTATCCCGATCGTTCAGTTCCATCAAATTAGCCAGTGCAGCCAGCTTCTTCTTCTTCTTCTCGTTGCGCTCGTGCTGCTTCGTCGACAGCTGTTCCTTCATCCTGTTGCGCCTTCCGTTCAAGCTGAAGGCGAATAAAAGCCAATTATTCTCTCTATTTTGTTATACTTTAATTGTAAACACATGGATTCTTTAACATGTGCGAGAAGCAGTGTTGTGAAACTCTCAAAGAAAATTTGGCATTCCTATGAAAAACCACAGCGGTCTCTCTATAATTTTTGCTAGTGTGCCCAGAGTTTATACAATTTAAATGTAAGGCGCGAAATGTAACCAGTTTAAGGTTTCAAGCTCCTAGCATTGGATACATTTTTCAAATGAACATTTTATTAATCTTAGGGAAATTAGTTCTTCCTAGCTAAGCCATATAAATTGAGCTGTGGTTCTAAAAATATTAACAGTCTGTTACTAATGGCAATAATGGCACTGTTAAATTGTTACAATTTCCCAACACTACTCTGAAATCGGATTAGTTAGAAAGAGATGACAACACTGCACCCTTTACCGTTATAATGCCGCGTGCTTTTGGAACTTGTTAAAATCTCAGGCGTACCCCAGTTCCTCGGAAGTTTGCTTTTTAAACCCAAACCAGATAGAAATAGGCCAAACAAAATGTACACAGCCGTGAAGCCGCTGTCCAAGTACTTGCAATTCAAGTCGGTGCACATCTACGACGCTATTTTCACCCTGCATTCAAAGTGCACGGTGGCGTTGCTTTTGGCGTGCACTTTTCTGCTCTCCTCCAAGCAATACTTTGGTGACCCGATTCAGTGCATGCACCACGACGATCTGGACTACTTTCATGCCTATTGCTGGATTTACGGAGCCTACGTGTCTAACACATCAGAGCCTCAATCTCTGTACGATGGAATGCAGTGCAAGCCGGGTGAGTAGAGGATTTTCCTCTCAGAGAAGCTTCTGTAAACATCGCATCCTATTTTCAGAACTGGTGGGTCGCACGGTGTCCCGTGAAAATCGTCGCTACATTCGCTATTACCAGTGGGTGGTGCTCGTTCTGCTCATTGAGTCTTTTGTCTTCTACTTGCCCGCTTATCTTTGGAAGATTTGGGAGGGCGGCAGACTGAAGCACCTTTGTGCCGACTTCCACCAGGCGGTTGTGTGCAAGGCCAAGAGCAAGGCCCATCTGGGAAATCTGGTGAGCTACTTCAACAGCGACTACAAGGAGACCCACTTTCGCTATTTCGCTAGCTACGTGCTTTGCGAGATCCTAAATCTGACGATCAGTGTAAGTCCACAGTTCCGGCTAATAGAATGTTTCTAAACTAATATATATCTTTTTCGATAGATTGTAAACATTCTCCTGCTAGACGTCTTTTTTAGCGGCTTCTGGAAACGGTACCTAAATGCCCTAGCCGCTCTATACTCCGGAGACCTGGAATTGTGGAACAGCATAACCACTAGCGTGTTTCCCAAGTGCGTCAAGTGCGAGGTGATCAGCACCGGAGCCGGTGGATCGGACAATGTCTACGACAATCTTTGCCTGCTGCCCCTCAACATGCTGAACGAAAAGATCTTTGGCTTCTTATGCATTTGGTTTCTGCTGATGACTGTGCTGGTCGGCCTCAAGTTCATCTACCGCTTAGCCACCATTCTGCTCCCCGGAATTCGTTTCCACTTGATGCGTGCCAGGGGTCGCTTCATGTCCAAATCCCGCCTAGAGGAAACCCTGGGCAACTGCAGCATTGGCGACTGGTTCGTGCTAATGCGCGTGGGCAACAACATCAGCCCCGAAGTGTTCCGTAAGCTACTGGAGGAGCTCTACGAGGCACAGAGGAACACGAAGAAACTGCCCCCAACTGCCGAAGATGTCTAACAATTCACCTACTTTACACAACCACCTATACATATCCTTATCTTGATCTACGCTGAAGTAAGTTAGTTTAGTTTTTTTTTTTCTTAAGTCATATGTGAGAATAGGACCACCTCCTGGACAAGAGAACCTTTCATTTATCATTATTTTCGTAAAATATCCTTAATCGATATGTGGACATTATCGACGAAATTGTTAAGGAATTGGAGCTTAGCGAAATAAAATTTTGAGTTTTTTGTAACATTCTTGTTTCTAGTACCCCCCCACTTACCTTTGTGACCTAGCAATACTTCTCAGAGCGAGTCGTGTTCTGGTCCACATCATATCCTTCCTGTAGCGTTGTGGCGAAAGTGTTCACCGTACGGCTCGATTGTTTTGGGGATTGGAGATAGTGTTGCACATACCGTTGGCACTCGCTTCCTAGTAATGCAGGGCGTCGATGGTACGAATGGTCGAAATGGAGCGGTAGGTTCCTTTTTTTGCCAGAATGTCTGGATGGGTCATTAACTTTCCGTGCTTGCGCATCAATTTTTACTGACTGAGTTCTGCGGATGCGGAGGAAGATCGTGTTGGTTAGGCCTGGTTAGGTGTTGGCTGCGCACTTACTTGCAATTGTGTCTGATAGTAAAATTTAGATAAAAGATTTTTGACAATTTTCCTAATGAATATGCATATGTTTTTCCGTTTTTTTTTTTTTGTGCCGTATGTTTGACTTTTTTTTGGGTTTTGTATTTTTGTGTTTTTTTCGGTTTTTGTATCTGACGTGTGACAACGGAAAAAGCTTTTTTTGTGGACCCTTAAAACTCAACTAAAATATTTTTATTTTGGCCTGTGCTTACGAAATTTGTAAAAAAAAAAAATGGTTTAAGATCTGGGTGTGTCAGTCAATAACTAAGGCTAAGCCTGCTGAGTCGAATGCGAGTCCCTAAGTAAGTGAAAAAGCAAGGGAGTGTGAGGTAATACAATATGTTTTGATGTTTTACTATCGGAAAGGTAGTTTTGAAGGTGGCTAAACTATCAATTGTGATAGTTAAGAATATTCAAAATATTAAATATTAATATCACCTTGTAGAACTGCGAACATTGACACTGTGGGGGTGATGTTGCATTTTCTTATCGATATGTACCACTGGGTGGGTGGGTGGTTCGTTGCTCTGCAAATTCTCCTTCAACTTGCACTTTTTCGAGGGCCGTTTCGGCTGACCGCAGCACTTGTCGGGCCATTTTTCATTAACCAAAAAACTGTAAAGTTCAAAACGAAGCAGAAAAGTGCAGCTCTGGCCCCTGGAAGTGGGTCGGTTGCCGGCTGATCCACTTTCCGGAAGCCTTCATAAGCAGACCCACCGGCCACTGGCGGCTTCAGTTGCCGTTCGCCGAGCGGATCGCGCGGAAGTCTCCAAATCGTCGTCGCCGTGGATATAGTGTTCGTGATCGTGGATATCAGATTCGGTCTTTGGATTTCGGTTGTGATTGCTTTTTGTTTGAGTGAATTGCTGTAACCCGAGGCTCCTTGTTGGACAGCCAATTTAACAAAGTGACAAACATAAAGTTAAGCATTTAGAAAAAAAAGAGTGAAAATACGCTTATGGAATAATGCCATACAATATGCAATAAAACCCCAATAAAAAATGCTTAAGAAGTTATAAGTAAATATTACAAAAAAAAGTGAATACAATTAGTGAAAAATGAATTACAATATGAATGGTATGTGTGTTGAAACTGGAAATATATTATATTATTATCAAAAATAATAAGAAATATCAATCATAGTCTTAATGGATCTATAAATAAACTGTCTTTTTGTTCTATAAAATGAAATTTAAATATCTAAACTCTTAAAATATTTTATATTTATAAAAACAATCCCATAAATATTATATCTTATTGTAATATCGATAAATTCAGTGTCATATAACTATGGTTCTTTACGGAGTATCTCAATATTTCCACTAGTCAGACTATTTTTTCAAGATTATCCAATATGAAATAATCTATTATAGGATTATTCTTAAGTTGGTTCATCCAAATCTTCAAATAGCCGAATTTTATACAATTTTTCGTAAATTTCCATTTAGTACGAAACTTAATCAGCATTTTTATAAAAATTATTGCGAAATGGCTGATTGGCCAAGAAAGTGCTGACCGCAATTAAGTTTCAAAAAAGAGTAAAGAATGTTTCGTTTTGTATGCCTAAAATAAAAGTATGTGAAATACATTTAAGAGAAAAGAGTAGAAAAGAAAAAAATAGGTAAACAATTAAGCAATCGATAGGTGGACTGGTTTTTATACATATGAGTGACTAATTGGGACTGAAATTCCATAGAACTTGAGGCAACTAGGTTGCTGAGACACCCCAGACGTTGCTGGGGCAGTGCCTATAGCAGGAGAATTGTGGCCATCTCGGGAATCGTAATCCTCACACTGCTGTTTACAATGATTTACCATGGCCTTGTTGTGGAGAGGATGGGTGAGTCGATGATGGGTATATCTCCTACCTATGGGACTGAAATATTCTACTGTAATTCCACAGACCGCGTGCAGCAGATTGCCGCCCTGAATGCCCAGCACAGATTGCTGGCAAATCAACCCTTCGACGAGGATCAGCTGCCCTTGATAGTCAGCCCCCAAACGTTGCACTTTAAGCTCCTGGATGAGGACGCGGATAAGGAGACGGATGATAGCCAGCACAGGAAGAAGCGGTTGAAGAACATGTTGCTCAAGTTCCGGTTGCACAAAAAGCACAAGACTCGTCGCGAGTTGCCCCGAAAGGATCTGCTTGATCCTGTCCAGGTGGAAGCTAATCAGCTTGACCCTGTCCAGGTGGAGGCTAACCTGCAGCACCTCTACAACAAGCTAAGGAGCAAGAGGGCCAGGGAGGCTCTCAGCCAACTCGAGAACGAGTTTGTGCGCTGCAAGAAGGAAACCCCCAAGGACTGCATGTCGGCCTTTTTGAAGATGTACAAAATGGCCAGAGATGTGGCCGAAAAAATGGAGAAAATGAAGGCCATAATGCGAGAGCAACAGCCTCTGCTGGAGTCTGAAAGCATGGAGTCAGAGGAGCACAAAAATAAAGAGTTAACATCCGACAATCTGGTGGTGCAAGAGACCACTGTTTTCGCCACTGTGGTGTCTGGTAATGCCACCGAGAAGCCTCAGCGGACGAAGATAAAGCCTTCCAGGATAAGCTGGATCATTGATGGGCACGACCATGATGATGAGGTATATACTGACGACACCCCTAAGACAGTTGCGACCACTAAGGAACCAGGAAGCACAACCCCTTCAGCACCGACCACTCCACAGGCTTTGGACAGCACCAGCGAGAAGATCAGCTGGATTTTGGACCAGTTCGACAAACCCAAAGAGATTTTGCGCACCACCGAAGGACCTGGCATCAAGAAAACCACTCCAATAGCAGAAATGGAAAAGCCAACTGAAGCATCTGTGGGATTTAATGTAACCACAGATGGTCCGTCGGAAGATGGAACCACACCGGGGCAGCGAAAACCTGAAATCGATTGGATTATAGATGGTAATGAGGAGGTGGAGCCCCTTGGAAATAACACCAGCACCACCATCACTGCACTCATTAGCACTACGGAACCCAACGAAGCTCTAATAAACTCCACGGTTACAACAACCAAGCAGGATACCACCACATTAGTGGGAACCACGGAAGGCACAGCTACCACATCCAGTCAGCGGAAGCTGCAGTTCGATTGGATAATAGATGGCGAGGAGGTGGATGAGCTACAGAATAATTCCACCACCACCACAACGTTAGTTCCCACAACAATCATCACCACTGAATCCAACGAAGGATTGCCAAACACAACAGTATCGACTGCTGTCCCGGAACCTGTAAAGATTAGCTGGATAATTGACGGGAATGAAGGTAGCGGGGAACCGAGTGCGACCTCCACCACGCAACCTAAGCTGACCACCAGGCAGGTTCACAGCGACTCGATGGATGGCCCCAGATCTGAACATCCTCTGGACAATCCAAGCAGCATCGAAAACATGCTGGAGAGCTTCGAGCGGCATGAGCAAGACAAACCCGTTCTAAAAGAACTAAGCGCCAATGAATCCTCCCAAGAAACTGCCACGGATGTGTATGAAAGGCAGGTCTGGCTGAAGAAGTTCCAGCAGCAGGCTAGGCCAAACCAGGACGAGCTGATAGACACTTTCGGTTCAGGCTTGGACGCGAAAATGTTGGAAAAAATGAGACCCAAGATGAATCCTTTGAAGGGTCAGCCCTGGAATGGTGAGCAATGTTGTCCTTTCATTAACCCTAAAAAAACTAACATCTCATATTCTCCTTTTAGCTGCTGATGCCCAGATCCTGAGCCTGTGCGAAAGGGTGGCCCAGAAAATGAGGAATAGGGGATCCACTTTGACGGAGGGCGAAACCAAGGAGAAAGGGGAGACCTTCACTGCCTCGCCAAGTGTCCAGTTCACCAGCCGAGCTCCTGGTGGTTTTCCAGTATCCGGAGAGACGATGAAGGCTTCTGCCCAGTTCATGTTCAATCCCAATTTCGGAATGCCCAGCATTCCAGTCTGCTTTTACATGACTCCGGCCAACTTCCGCATGCCCATGTGGTCAGCCTCTCCCTCATTTATGGGAATGCAGGGCGGCCACTTTGGAGGATCCTCTAATGCCGGCGGTGGTATCTTCTTCGTGCCCCAACAGTTTGGACCGAGTGGAAACTTTTTCGGTGGTAGCGGTGGATCTGGATCCGGTGGCCAGGGAGCTAATATATTCTCTAAGAATGCCTCGCCGCAAAAGCTTTCCAATGGCCAGCAGCAACAGGTTTACTGCAGTTACCTCCAGAATCAGGCGGGACAGGGAGCCGCGCAGTCCTCCGTTTCGAATCCACAACAACCGCCGAATGGCCAGACGTCCTTTTCCAATGCCAACTTTAAGATGCGGCATGCCAATCAGTCTGCTGCCAATCACAACCAGGGGCAGATCATCTACGCCAGTTACGCGGGCCTGCCACAGTCAACCGTGCAGCATCATTCAAAATGCCCGGAACCCGATCAACTGTCCTGCTTCGGACAGGAGCAGGAGTGCATTTCAGCCAGCAGATGGTGCGACAATGTGGTGGACTGTTCGGATGGAAGCGATGAGTCTGCCTGCACTTGTGCGGACAGGCTGGACGAGGAGCGCCTCTGCGATGGCTATGCGGATTGCCCGATGGGCGAGGATGAGTTGGGCTGCTTTGGCTGCGAACCTCTGGCCCACTCCTGCTACGAAAACCCCACTGAGTTTGCCAAACACAATCAATCCACCCTCTCCATGTGCTACAGCCGCTTGGAACGCTGCGACGGCTTCATGAACTGCCTCAATGGGCGTGACGAGCTTGAGTGCAGCATGCTGGTCATCGATGTGGCAGATCATATGGTAGGAAACATATACCCTACCCTAGGATGATAACGATTATTTTTCTCTTTAGTCCCATGCTGCCTCGGCCTCTGAGGGATTTCTGTATCATAATTATCGTGGCGATTGGCATCCTGTGTGCAACAATGGACAGAAGTGGGCAGCTGCCGCCTGTGAGTTGGAAGACGAAAAAGCCGGCGTGGATCTAGGCTTCAAGGCCCTGACCCTACCCGGACCATTTATAGAGCCCTCCCTGCAGGCTGGAGTCCAATTCGCCCAAGCCTGCCATGGTCGCAATAGTCATGACTCCCTCGAAAACCACGTGGCGTACGTCAAGTGTCCTCCAATGCAGTGCGGAGTTCCCAAGAATGCTACGAAGGTAGTCCACTCCAAGAGAGTCAAGAGAACTGTGTCGGAGTCTGGCGAAAATTTTGGCAATGGACGCATTGTGGGTGGCCGCTACACGAGTGATCTCCAGTGGCCTTTTGTGGTGGCCATTTACCGAGACGGAAAGTTCCACTGCGGAGGAACCATCTACACCGAACGTTGGGTAAGCTGAAGGCTGGGTAACATGAACTATTGCTCACTATTCTCTTCCATTTCAGATCATCAGCGCTGCCCACTGTGTCATCAACTTTGCCAAGTATTACTACGAGGTGCGAGCTGGCCTCCTGCGCCGCACCAGCTACTCACCGGCTACGCAAATCCAGCCCGTGTCCCATGTTGTGGTCCACCAGGCATACGAGCGGAGGAGTATGCGAAATGATCTTTCTCTGCTTCGCATGGCCAGTCCCCTTAACTTCAATCGTTGGGTGAAGCCCATCTGCCTGCCGGACCAGGGGCGCACGACCATCGGAGATGATTGGATCTGGGGACCTGTGGAGAACACCATGTGCACAGTAGTTGGTTGGGGAGCGATTAGGGAAAAGGGTCCCAGCAGTGAGTTCTTCTTCCCATAACCCAAAGAAAAAATAATACAAATATTTTTCATCCTTTCCAGGTGATCCTCTTCGCCAGGTGATTGTGCCCATCCGCAAACGGTGCACAGATCCTGAGGATCAAGCCTCAGAGAACATTTGTGCCGGCGATCCACACGGAGGACGCGATGCTTGTCAAGGAGATTCAGGTGGTCCCCTTTTCTGCCGCAGCGTGTCTCGACCGGAAGAACTGTACCTCGCCGGAGTAGTGAGCCACGGCAATGGCTGTGCAAGGCCGCAGGAGTTCGGCGTTTACACCCGAGTCACCCTTTACCTGGACTGGCTGGAAATGGCGGTGAATCCTAGAAATCTGCCTGGCCGGCAGCCGCTGCAACTCTGTCCAGGATTCATCTGTGTGTGGGGCGGCAAGCGATGCATAGCCAAGCGCCAGCGATGCGACCGCAATGTGGATTGTCTGGGTGGGGAAGATGAGGTCGGATGTTCTTACAACTTTATTCCAGATATGGTTGGAGCCGGAAAAAACATAAGCACCACCACGGAAAGCGACTACCATCCTGAGGAGGCTAAGATTCGGGAGCTGATTCCTTTTGAAGATTTAGATTTGGAGGCGGACAAAGACGAGGAGGAAATCACTGAGACCACTACATTATTTGACGATTCCACGGAAGGACAACTGGAAGATATCTCCACAAGTACTTTAGGAGATCTAACTACAACTGAAGATGTAACATATCCCAGTTCGATGGTTGACTCAACTACATCAGATTTAGGAAACATAACACCATCAACAGTCCCAGAAACTACATCTGGACCTACCAGTACCCTGCCTACCACATCAGATATAACCACAAGTACGGCAATGCCAACGTCCACTGAGGATTTCCAGAAAATGTTTGACCTTGTCACCCAACTCATGGAAGAGAGAACAACTAGTACGGTCAAGGAGGAGCTAGTGACCACAACTTCTTCTGTATCCACGACTAAAGCGGCATTCCCAGTGACAACAGAGGAAGCTCCTGAAACAACAGCCATAGAATCAACTACAACGATTAGCAGCACCACCACTCCATTAATCACAACCACAACAGGAATACCCACCACTGTTCAGTATGAAGAGACCACCGTGACCACCTTGGCTCCAACTACAAGTACCATTGTTACTGTTATTTCCTCAACTACTACTCCTAAGGCTACTACTACCTCGAGGCCATTGAGGACCACCACAGAAAAGAGTAGTAGCTTCCATTCTCAGGAGGACGAGGTGCAGATTCCCAATAAGTTTGTGTGTAAAATGTGAGTCTACAAATAGCGTTGTATATATTTCAATTTCCTAAGCTTTTTGTCGCCCAAAGAATGCCTCAAATCATTGACATTCAGATGCACTGCGATCGAAAAGTTGACTGCGAAGATGGAACTGATGAATTGGACTGTTCCTGCAAGGACTACTTGAAGGGCAGTCTAGCAGCTCTAATATGTGATGGCAAGGACGATTGTGAGGATCTGTCAGATGAGCAGGATTGCGGTAGGATATATATAGCTATTAAAAGCGACTGCATAACCAATTGTAATATTTCGAAGGAGGCTGCCATGCTAACGAGTTCCGTTGTCCTCTTTCGAAGACTTGCTTGCCTCTAAGCAAGCGATGTGACAATGAAGTGGACTGCAAGTTCAAGGAGGATGAGAAGGATTGCTGTAAGTCGGATTCCCAAAACCGTACATTCTCATATTAAACATTTTTTCCTTTTTTAGTTGCCCTGACCAATGGACATGACGTGCATTTCCATGTCCACCAACAGCCCAAGTTCAGCAGTGCCGGAATCTTTTCGAGAAACGCTCATGGAGTGTGGCGGGTTGTTTGCGCCCATGAAACAGGCTATCATGAGCATCAAGCCAACACGGCGGACGCAGTGTGTGCCCTCCTGGGATTCAAGGGAGCCCACTACTTCAACAGCACTGAGTTTGTGAGCCACCAGGAAATGCATCCCATTACGCCAGAGCTGAAGGGTGGCAGGACCCGCCTGGCTTCTCATATTCATGCAATGGTGGGAGACAACATTCAGCTGACGGAAAATGAAATAATAATACCAGAGCTGGGTCATCCAAGCGCCCCGAGACCGGAAAAGGATCGCCTGCTGCCCACCAAGTGCTTGGGTATCTATGTGGAGTGTAACCCCTTTTCCAACAAAACCACTCCCCTGAAAACACTAAGTGCTGGCCAAGCAGTCAAACCAAAACTGAAGGACGAGGTGCCACAACTTCTGCCCACTATCGAAACCCACAGCAGACCCAACGTCCACTTCAAGCCGCAGCTACCGCCAACGGTCGTGAATAAAAAGGACGAAATACTGGACCGTCTGGATAATCTGATTAAGAGCAAGAAAAACAAAACCCTGCTGGTGAACGAGGAGCTCCACGAAGCCATCGAGGAGCTGCACTGGCCCTGGCTGGCTGACGTCTACTCGAACGGGGATCTCTGGTGCATCGGTGTGCTCATCGACAAGCACTGGCTGCTGGTCCACGAGAGCTGCATGTTTGGCATCAGTCTGAAGACGCACTTCGTCAGTGCCCTACTGGGAGGTGGAAAAACCAAGAGATCGCTTCACCGTAGTAACCAGGAGCAGATTCGAAGGATAGACTGCTTTGACCCGGTGCCCAAGTCCAATGTGTTGCTTCTCCACCTGGAAACCCCGGTTAAATTTACTCACCATGTGCTGCCTACATTTTTGCCCGAAAGGTAGGAAACACCTTTTTGCTTATAATCAATTTCTAAACCATATTTATCTGCCTTGCAGTTCCCTTGAAAATGAAGACACTTCAAGAAACTGCATCAGTGTGCTGCACGACGATTTCACGGGTCGCATCAAAACAGTGGCCATAACCAAAGTGGCCAACAATTCCGAGTGCACGTCCTGCTACAAGCTGCAGGAGAAGCAGCCCCCCGTTAATCTGATGCGCCTGCTGAATGTCAGTGCCGAGGACATGGCCTCCATTTCGGAGGAGGTGGAGCTCATCAACGGGGTGGCTCCCACTGAGCTGCCGGCCATAACAAAGTTCACCAGCTGCCACCAGTTTGGCCTGAAGAACGCCAGTGATTTCCATCACAATCCCAGCGATCAGGGAGTGCTGGTTTGTCGCGACTCGCACTCTGGGTGGTTCCCCACGGCCATGTTTAGCTACAACAACTCGGACTGCCAGAGTTTTAGGCAGCCGTTTGCCATTCGGACATTGGAGCAGGCGTACAAATCGCTGCAGGATATTATAGGTGAGTTGTGTGGGGCGCACCCGGTCCCATTGCTAAACGAAATCCAATTTAAATTGATTTCCCTCGTTCGCTTGTTAGACAAGCTCAGTTGCAGGAATCTGCAGCCAGTTCCGGAGTGCAGCACTCATCGCTGCCCGTTGGGGCTCTGCCTGCCACAAACGGCCATCTGCAATGGCCGATCCGACTGTCATGATGGCAGCGATGAGGAGGAAACCAGATGTCGGCACTTGAAGCAACGATGTGCCCCCGGCGAGATGAAGTGCCGCTCCAGCTTCAAATGCGTGCCCAAAAACAAGTTCTGTGACCACCAGCCAGACTGCGAGGACATGACTGACGAACCCACTATTTGCAGCTGCTTCACCTACCTACAGTGAGAAAATATTTGTATAAATGATTGAAAAACTGATAAAGTTTGTGAACACTTTGTGTTTCAGAGCCACTGATCCTTCCAAGATATGCGATGGCAAACGAAACTGCTGGGACAAGAGCGATGAAAGTTCTGTGCTTTGCAATTGCACGGCAGACCATTTCCAATGTAGCTCGTAAGTGATATTTTTAAACCCACAAATACTTAACTAACCGGGTTTCTCTGTAGCTCCCCTGAAGATTGTATACCCCGTGATTTCGTGTGCGACAAGGAACCGGACTGCCCCAATGGCGAAGACGAGCGGTACTGCTTTGGAATAGAACACCCTCTGCATCTGCAGAAGAAAGACTTTTGGGCCAATAGCCAGCACACGTATGGCCCAGTACTACAGTTTGGTGGATAACTAGCTGATGAATTGTTCCATTTTAGGCAACCTGAAGCAGCACCCCAGTATGGACAGGTTATCGAACAGACCTACGGCATCTGGCACACAAAATGCTTTCCGAAGAGCTCGCCGCCGCAGGTCGACGAGGTGCGGGAGATATGCAAGAAGCTGGGATACAACCCGTATAGACAGCCCAGCTACCGGCTCATAGACGACGAGGAGAACAAGGCCGTGCACACCTACGAGCTAGCAGACCGACAGGGTCGCAGCTTCAGCAACGACACTCTGGTGGGAAAGTACCGGGACTCCACCAAGGCGCTGATCATCAGCAAGTTCTCGCCGCTGCAGCTCAACGAGCGGCTGACGCTCTTCTTGAAATCCAGCCGGCCCATTGCCGAGCTGGTTAGGTGGAACGCCACCGATTCCAGCAGGTGCTACAGACTGGAGATTCGGTGTGCTTGAAGTGTAGTTACTATGACTTGGCCAGAGCCTCTTCCTAATCTCGTGATTGTCCTTTGTGCGTTTTAGTAGCAAATAAATTCGAGATCTGTACACGTTTTGTTGTTAACTTTGTTTTATTCGAATTTCCTTTTATTATTTTTACTTTTAATCAGTTTGCGCTTGCATATGTTGCATATTTCATTATTTTTTGTTTTGGGTTTTAGTTTTAAGCTTGGTTTTGGGTATGTTTTTTAAATTTTAGTATAACAAACAAATTTTTTGGTTTTTATAAATGTAAAAAATCGCTTTCTTGTTACTTCAAAGTTCAAACAATTTAATTAAAGCACTTAATTAAGAGTTGGGTTTCCTTTAAATTCGTTAAAAAGATGTAAGTTATGCTAAGATTAGATTTTTATGAAAGAAGGTACTTGAGAATTATAAGTACTTGCGGCCATCGAGGAACGTCAAACATTTTCGAAATTAGGTTGTCTCTCGGGCGCATCGTTGGTAATATAATATACGTATAAATAGTAGGGGCTTCAAAATCTTTAACGTCCGTCTAGGGGAATGTATAAGAGTAACTAGTTAAATGTATTCATAAGTCTTTGGCGCTGATTAGGATTAAGTTTTGGGAATACTTCTGGGAGGTAATTATTCTCGTAATTAGATAAACGCAAACTTTAGTTGGGACTTGGGTTAGGCAAATACTTTCAAAGTTTAGTTTGATTAACAATATGATCTCTTTGTACAGTAAATAATTTCACTTTATAATTTGAAATTGAATCACAAATGTCGTTAAAGTATTATAAGTACGCGTAGGTAAATGCTTAGGCTAGAGTTAATCATTCCGAATGGCGATTAGAGTTAGTGTGCGATTTATGTGAACCATGTGTGCAATCGTATCGTGTGCAGCGATGCAGCTGTGTTGAATTAGTAGAGATTAATAGTTTCTAGGATTGGGTTCGTAGCACAGGCAAACAGTTCTCAACACAACCTTTGACAATTCTAAATGTAAGTTCCAAGAGTATAGTATATAGGTTGGTAGAGTTCGGAAGAAAAGCGTAGTACGGGTTAAATTTTAGGTGCCCACTGCCTGGGCAATGCCGATTCCTTCTCTAAACTAATGGTAAGCTTAGTTTCCTCAGTAATGTCGGTGACCTTACATATCGTTTACGTTGTCATGAAACACAGCAGTTTATATATATTTACATACCTATCATACCTACAAATTACGCTTAGGATTTCATTAACTTTACTAACTACGATGTACCGGTGAAATTGTTTAATTCCGTTGCTAAAATCTTAATGGATTAGTTGGTGCGTTTTATTTACAAATTGATTCGTTCTAGATGTTTTCAGTAGGTAGTGGTTCGAGTATATTAAAGCTTATGGAGAGTTAGTAGACTTCACTGGATGAGTTCGCGGTTGCAAGGACCTCTGAGTCGCTGACAGATTGGACCTCGGACAGTCAGGGACCAAGCACCCGCGTAGTGTTTTTAATGGGTTCTGGTTACTAGATAATATCTATGCTTTCTAGAAATAATTCCTTTCTTCTTATAGCCGGGGCCGCCTAAAAGCATTTAAGCAGTTCCCTGGGTCAAAATTTATAACAGTTTCCTAGTTTTCGACCAAAACGTATGCTTTACATTCTACGTCTTAATGGTAATGGTTTTATGTTTTGGAAAACTTTTTAAAATAAAAAAGGAAAACTGATGAAACTCAAAGGAAAATTATTTTCAATAAATAATTCATATATTTTTCTAAAACTTTGCACACACAAAAACTGCCTTAGGCTTAAACAAATATCTCGCTTCCAATAAATAATTTAAAATTAAACATAAATTAGGGTTGTCAGTTGAAAACAGCCGGCGTCAGATAGAACTTGTGCGTTTGTTTGAGTCGTCCGACTTGGGCTTACGCTAATTAAACATAAAATAAGAAACTAAAACAGTTTAGTTAACACAAGGACAAAAACTAAAAGTTTACACAACATGTGATGCGTACATAAAATCCGCTCGAAAGTTGACATTCAACATTTCGATCACCTGAACGTCTTTAGCTAAGAAAGGGGCGACATTTATTTTTTGTTTATCTAATTCACGAAAGAGCTAAATTTAGGATTGAGTTTCGATTATCCTTTTCTCGCAACTGATTGCCACGAAGTCCTTAAGTACACTTCCGCTCCTCGGTTTGGGTTGGTGGCGTGTTCTCCTGAGTGCGCACCAAATGCGATGGCAGTTGCATGTTGAGCGGATCGTTGATCCTTCTTAGATTGTACTCCAGTTCCGCCGACTTCCGCTTAAGCTCATTGTAGTGCTCCACATCAAACTGGACCTTCTTGGCGTTCCTGTAGAGCGTCAGCGAGTACTCGCGATTCTTCACATGCTCCATCATGTACTCCTGTTTATGAAAATTGAAATGTATGACATAACTATTTTATAGTTATAGTAAGGACATCCTTACCTTCTTGGTTACACAATAGTAGGCATACATTGCCATTGTCGTGCCGTACGTAACAAAATAGGTAACCGGCTCCATAATATCCCAAGAGTATTCCCACCAGGTGAGGCGCGCCAAGATGCCAAACTGCACGGACATCAAGCCCAGACCCATCCAAGTCATAAAGTTGGTCCGACGAGCGGCTTTTTTGCTAAGTTCCAGTTTTTTCTAAAAGATAGTTTACTTCTGAGTTTTGTTCAGATTTTATAATGATGTAGAACCCACCTCTTCAAGCGGCTCCAATTCGTAGCGTAAGCTCTCCAGCTCCTTGGCTAGCTGATTGCTTTTCTCCAACTGATACTCGCCCACATTAAACGCCTCATACAGCTATTATGGTTTAAAATATAAATCACTACACAATCTAAAAAGCCACTTGTGATAGTCCCACCTGAGCAATAACTTTGCGAACATCCCCAACTTTGTCCATGGACTCTATTGTGATTTTGTCACGTTTGGGGGGATTCACTTCCAATGTACGGTTGTTTATTTGTATGCTGCAAGTGAAGATTTCATTATTAGATTTTAGGCAAAGTCTATAGTCTATAGCTCACCTGAAGGAGTCATCCAGAAGGCTGTCAATAGAGCAGGACGAAGCGATTCGCACTCCATGCTTATTGATGACCGCAGCACGGTCTATGCCGCGATCCTCAGCTCTAAGCATGGCCAGCAGGTCGCCCACGTTGTGGGTGATGGGCTTCAAGGCGAACTGGCAGAGTTCATTGCGACTGGGTAGCCTGACAGTCATGTGGGGCATGCCGTTCACATACTCCACAAAAATGTCTTCTAGGACAAGAAGGGAAAAGAATGATTGCGGGATTAATAATAATATATATTTTCAAAATAATAATAAACGACTGTAATTCAGAGCCAACACAAATTTAATCCGCACTTCTTGGAAAACCAAACTTATAAAAAGTTCTCTCTTTTTCGAGTGGGTTTTCTACCCGAATGTGTGCCAATCTGGGCTGCAGTCTTGCCTCAGTTTTAATTAACCATAAGCCACTCAAGGTTACTTGCCAGCCCGGCTCAATTCAAATGCAGTTAGGCGTTCGAATTGTTTGCTGAGGCGGAACTCCCTCCCCTCCCACAAAAAAAAAGGAAAAAAGCAGTAGCCGGCAGATGGAAGACCCCAAATAGACGACATACTGCTCACATTGCAGTTCAATTTGACAAACAATTCAATTAGCGGCCCCCGAAACGCATTCCAGCCCCAACACGGCGAAGGTATTATGATAGTCATCTTTGGTCGAAAAGTTTTCACTTTGTCGCATGTGGGATTTATCAAGCCATGAAGTAGCACAAACATATATTTATGTGTATCGCTGCCACTCATGCAAGCAGCCAATGCAACGAATGCAACCACACGCCAGTGCAGCCACCAACACACAAGTAACGCTTCTAATGAAGATTTTCTTCTCGTGGCTGCACAGTGAGAAATTGGTTGGTCAAACATACTTTTTTTTAAAGAGCACCTTTAACTTTTAAATAATTAAATAAGTGGCTTGCACATGCATATCTAACAATTTTGACTTTATTTTAAAACATTAAGTTCTGAAAATTCGAAAACTTTTTCCAGTTGAAACCGATATTGTTTTTAATAAACTGGGCCTATGTGCGAGTGTCTTGGCTGGGTCTGTTCAACCCATTAGCAATCGTAGTCGGCGCCAAATGTGGGTAACTAGTGTCGGATCCTATGGTTTATGTTTTTGTTGTTTTTACTTGGCTAACCGTCGAAGCCGAGTACGCTGCTCATTGCTCGCTGGCTTCTGCGATGATTATTTTCATGGAGTTTGATTTTTTGGGATTTTAAACATTTTATGTTTTCTTTTCTTTGTGCTTCGGCTTCTTCTCTGCGAGTCTTCTGTAGGCTTCTGCGTTTATTGATAGTTTAAGATTTTTGTTGGGATTTTAATTTTCAGTTAACTTTCAGATTTTCGCGCTGGCAGACGTGTGTGTCTCTCGTCGCTTCAGTCGATCAATTGTGTACGTGGCACGGTAATTGCTATCAATACCCACTATAATCTAAGGAATATTCGTGAAAAATACATCCAGTTTTGCCGTGAAACTGTACAGCAAAAAATTGGATTTATTGGACTGTTTTTGTGTGAACAGCAAAAAACAGAACCTCGACAGAAACATATTCTTTGTGATGCATAGTATAGTAGTACTATACAAGAGACAGATACCATCGACAAAAAAGTTTAATTTACAAACTATGACATCCACAGAAAGTACAAAGTTTGCGGAGCTGTCAGTGATTTTGTTGCAGGGCTTTCGGTGAACTAAAAAACAGCAAACCTGTGTCCTATACTAACATACTCATAGAGCCACAAGTTGTGAGCACAACATGAATAACCGCAGTCAGCAAACGTGCCAACATTGATAATGCCATGTCAGATGCTCGCCCCGGGCCGCCACCTCGCTCTCGATAGGCCGCAACTTTGCTTCATCAAAACTTAATAGCCGGTTTCCGCATCCCTGCCAAAACAGGGCTAACAAGTGTCAAGCTTACTCGCACAAATACCGGGGCAACGCGGTGGTTCTCCTTGCCCGCAAACCCTCCTGTTTTTTACCTGCACGGGTGTGCGAGTGGGAACACGTGGTTAGGAAACAAAATGAGGGCAGAGTGGACACCCGAACGTGGCGACCACATCCGTCGCCGGAAATGCAAGCGGCAATCAGCCCGCAAATTTGTAACAGCCAACGTCTGCTTCTTGGGGATCCTTTGGGTTTGCGTGAGAATGGATGATATTAGGGAAATGTAATGGAAGTTTCAAGGAATCATTATTCATCTGAGGTTTAATTATACCCTTGCAGAGGGTATTATAATTTTGTCCAAAAGTGTGCAACGCAGTGAAGGAGACATCTCCGACCCTATAAAGTATATATATTCTTGATCAGGATCACCTCCTGAGTTGATATGAGCATGTCCGTCTGTCCGTCTGTCCGTCTGTCTGTTTCTACGCAAACTAGTCTCTCAGTTTTAAAGCTATCGTCTTGAAACTTTGCACACACCCTTCTTTCCTTTGCACGCAGTATATAAGTCGGAACGGCCGGGATCGGCCGACTATATCTTATAGCTGCCATATAACTGATTGATCGGAAATGGTATAACTTTGGTGTTTTTAGAGTTAGAGAGTTCAAATTTGACATGAGAGCTATTTTTGGCAAAATAATACGACATGCCAAATTTCATAAGGATCGGCCGACTATATCCTATAGCTGCCATATAACTCAACGATCGGAAATGACCCAACTTTCGTGTTTTTGAAGATAGAAAGCTGGAATTTAGTACAGACTCTATTTTTGGTTAGTTGATCCAACCTACCAAATTTCATTAGGATCGGCCGACTATATCCTATAGCTGCCATATAACTGAACGATCGGAAATGACCCAACTTTTGTGTTTTTGAAGATAGAAAGCTGGAACTTGGTACAGATTATATTTTGATCCATCCTACCAAATTTCATAAGGATCGGCCAACTATATCCGATGTTTGCGATATATATCCGGTTTTAGCTGCAAGGGTATATAAACTTCGGCTCCGCCCGAAGTTAGCTTTCCTTTCTTGTTTTTATGTAAAGGACGTAAAGGATACTGTTTGTTTGGCTTTCCTCTCTGAACTTCAGGGTTAGGAATTTAATTCAGAAGTTACTTTCTTTAAAATCTGCATTTCAATTTAATCAGTTAATGGACTCACATGTCAAGCTTTAAAATCTGCGCCATAATCTGCATGACCTGCACTAAGTATTCTGATTTAATCCCCCACTTATAACAGGTTATCGTGGGGCGGAATATTTAATCTTGAAACTGTTTTGAGGTTGAGGCTAGGTTGGCCCGCCACCTTGTCGCTTAAATTATATATTTTTCTAGCTCACCAAGCAATCACGAGAAATGTCCTGACATCTGCGATGCAGACCTTCTGGCTGCCGTGATTTTCATGTGTGAGAGCAGAAACTTGTCGCCCAGGAGGAGTGTGTGCGTGTGTTCTTGTGAATGGGCTTTGCATGATTACATGGCGGCGGTCCATCGCCCCACCACCAGCCCACCAAGCCCCAAGCAGCAGCCAGCAAAAATTGTCCTTTGTGCATTATTAAAAATTCCGGCAACCGGCAGCCGGCAACCTGCCTCCTGTTTGCATATTTTGTGTGATTTCATTTTCTGGTACATTTTTCAACAAGATTCCGCGTGTGCTTGGCCTGTGCATTTAAATCAAATTATAAAGCGGCGCCACGCCGAGCCGGCATCATTTAATAAACTAAGCTGCATGCATAAGATATAAAATATTCACCGAAAACATACGTTTAAACTAAACGATAAAGGAGAGAAACGAGAAAAAGGAACAAGGCCAGGAAGGAAACGCAGGACATCGGGCGATTAGCGTGGGTAAGTCTGGGGGCGTTTATTGGAGCTGGATGGCAATGACAGGGCGAAGACTACAAGGTTTTCCGTGCTCACAGCTTCGTGCTCCGAGCTCCGTGTCCTTTTTGCTATCTTCAATTTTTTACCTACCATTATGCTGGACTGTGTCTTTGGGGGCAGAAGTCGTGTAGGAATTATTTACGAGTCCCTTCGCCGACGACAAATTGGAATCTGTTTTTGTTGTCGTCCTTGTTGTTGCCGCTGCACCGTTTTGGGCCACGTTTGTGAGCCGTTCGACTAACGTCTGTTTGCGGCCCGTTGCACTCAGTCCGAGGGCTCTTAGCCGCGTCCTCAGCTCGGTCAGCGTGAGTCGCGTGATATCTGGGATGGTAATGATAGTGGGCGATGGGGCAGAGGCGCATTAGGGGCGTGCCGAAAATAGAAAATGATGAAATAAAAAAAGAGATACGAAAAAGAAATTAAAAAAAATTTCCATCAAAGCCAGGGGCTTGGCCTGGCCCAGTGAAGGTGAAAAAGTGTGAAGTTTCTCGGCCGGCACTGGCCCTTTTCCCCTTTATCATGAATCAAAAAGCAAGCAAGGCCCAGGAGGAGTGGGTGGAGTCCTGGAAGCCAAGGAGCTGCTCTCCCACAAAAAGCGCAGTAAAAATGATGGCACGTGCAGTTAACGCCGAAAAAATGCACATAAAAAGGCAAGTCGAAAATGTGTTTAACAAAATAAAAAATACATCAGGCAGAACACCGACGTTGAGCACAGAATGGTGGAAAAATGTTGATGGAGAGGCCCAGGCACGCTCGAAGACAAAGCTGCAAAAACAAAAAGGAGCCTCCGGTTCGTCACAACGATTGCGTTTTTTATCAGACCAGGAAGGACACGCACACACAAATGAGGGAAGTGAGGAGGTGGGATGGGCGATAGCCGTAGGCCATCAAACGGAATGCAGGAACATTAAATTTAATGCTATTGTCATCGTCAAAATTAACACAATGAATGGCAAGAGGAGGCTTCGGTTTGATTGCCTCAAACATGACGAGTATGATAAAATGGGATTCAGGGTGCAGAACTCCAAAGAAATAATATTTTAAACAGAACCAACAAATATAGGCTGAGCTTTGATAAATATATTAGTTAATCAAAAGCAAATATATCTCTAAATAGCTATATTTGATAAAATATTATAAATCATCCAAGTGCTTGCAATGGCTCCCTCTTGAAGTACACAAATCCTTATTTAGCATAAATATTTACTAACCACCAGCAAATAATCCTATTCCGTTTCATCTCCCTGCTCCCTGGCATCCTTTTCGGCTGATTAATGTGGCCACAGTGGAAATAAGCGCCAGCTAAGCGGATGAAAGCTTCTCGAACCCCGAACACATTATTTAAATTAAGCAAGAAAGAATTTTCCAAAGCACTCAGCTCGGCAAAAACAAGGGAAAACCAAACATGGAATGAAATTGCAGAAACTTTGAAAGGGGAAATATGCGTAAGCCGAGGGCAAACAGGCCCCATAAACCCGCACATTTGGCCATTCGTAAAGCATCGATGCTCCTTTAAGCTCATAAAATATTTATGAAATTGCAGGACAGGACAAAATCTTGTAAAATATCTTGTTTTATGCGACTCTTTATTTCGGTGGCGGCTTGTTTATTTATTCGCCAGTCGGGAGAGGGTAGTCGGGGCATAAAATCTCTGATTTTCTCAGCCGTGTTATTACGCCCAGAATCGATTTGTGCCTTCACAATGGAAATAATTGTCATGTTGTGTTCCGCTGAGATTTCTTTGGAAAATTTTAGAACAATTAAGTTTGAAGCACGTCTTGGAGATACAGAAACACTTTTCAGCTTTAGCCCGGCAGGTATCCACTTAATTAATGGAAGAAGGCCGTGGAAAGCGGAGAGTTTGGCGGAAAACTCAACAAGCTCGCGCTCGAGCTCGAGAGGGTGAAATTTTTGTGTATTTTTCGCGCACAGAGAAGGAAAACCGCAACCTCAACCGCTTTGCGGCTATTGTGTTTTTGCATTGTGCTTAGGCTTTTTAATATTTTAGCCGGGTTTGTTTTGTATTTTATGCCCGCGTGTTCGGTTCACCTTGATCTCATTCCAGGGGCTGTGCGCCATGAGCCAGAGGCAACTGCGGAGTTTGCACAATAATCCCAAAACTGCGGGCAAAGACAAACAACGGCCGCAAAAGTGCAGAGATGCAGGCGAAACTTCAATGCAACTTGGTCGAGTGTCTGGCGCACACAAGTAGGCAATGCTTTTTTTCCTTCAGTTTTTTTTGTGATGCTGGCAAAGGACACTTCGCAGGACTTTGCAGCAGAGGCGAAGGCAAAGACGCGGCATATAGGAAATATTTATGACCAAGAGCACTTCGCCGCATACGGCGTACAAGGAGCGTCGTACAAGAAATCTTTTTTTAGGCTTCACATTAAAAATTGAAATGATCTATAAAGGCAGCGTGGCGAGGTCACAGAATATGGAATGCCTTGCATTCGGCTAATGCATTTGTCGTGTCTAGGATATTATTTAATATTTAACTAGTAAAATTTCAATCAAGTGGTTGGCTTTCCTTTTATGATGATGGCTTCAAACCCTTTCGTTTATACACCTTCATTTTAGTAATGTTGAAAATTAAAGTCCTTCTCCAATAAATCAATACATCTTGCACTTCATAAATACGGTTTTAAACAAACAATGAACTGTTGAAATTCTCTTTGATGTATTCCCTTCGGCATGAGCCTTCGAGGAGGTCTGCTCCTCACCTTAAACCCTAGACGCACCGAGCGGAAATTGTGTTTTCCCCACAGCACTGATTGCCTCTGTAAGCATCTACTGTGTGGCATGTAATTCCCGGCTCCGTTGGGGAACAAGACAAGAACCTCGAACGCCTCGGTGAACTCTTTAAGCACTTCACATGGCGACAACGAGGACGATGGGGCCGTCGAGTGGCGGCGACACTTTGAGTAGTCTGCCCTGGTATGGGGCATGGACCCTGAGCCTCAAGGGCTCCTCCGGCCATCCGCCCACTTGGCTGCTCATTAAACAGATAACGCCTTCGCCATATGGTAGCATCGTGTGTGTACATTTTTAGACGCCACGAGCCAATTTAATTAATTGCACAAACTTTACGCAAATTAAATGTCAAGCCACGTTTATATTATATGTCACTTGCAGCAACCGACACGCCAGCAAAGGACTGAGTAGCCCTATTGGATTGTAACCCTCCGGGTCCGGCACATTTTGCACGTCAAAATAGGCTCCGGACAGAGTCACAGCCTCTGCTATGGCGGCACGATGGGCAACGGATACTTTCGAACGTCACAAACGTCGTCGTCGTCACGTCAGCGGGACAAGCGGTAAGTTATGATATTTTCAACAAAAAGTGCACTTTTCAAAAATAAAACAGAAAAAATCCTACTTTTTAAACAGCTGGTAGTTGGCGAGAGAATAAAATCCCTCTTTAAAACAGTTTCCAGCCTCCCTTTATTCAATTTAAAGTTCATAAATTCTGATCAGGCCCGGGGCTATGCAGTTCCTTGTTTATTTTCTTAGTGTAACCAGAATTGTGGGTCAAGTCTCCGGGGCTAGGAAAAGCCAATAAAATATCCTTTTGAGCTGGACATATGTGGGGGGAATGGAAAGGGATTTCTTCCGGACAAGCCATAAAAGTTGTTCTAGTTCCCTGGCTCCCTGCATCTGTTTCTCTAATCAGCCTTCACTGGACATCGATATTTATGTCATGCGGTTTGGTGGTTGGGTGGTTAGGACCCAACACATTTTCTCGGGGTGATAAATGTTTGCCCCAGACGGAGGGGTTAAGAAGTCAGCCATTTAATTTTGACTTGACTGGCTGTGACTTGACTCGGAAATTTACTCATAAAGTCTCCTGTTTAATGAACTGGGAAGTGATTCGCTATGAAAACCAAAAAGATAAATTGAAATTTTAGTGACGAAAGTGATTTTGAAGGTGTTGGCTAGAATTTGAAATTCAAATCTTTCTGTGCAAGATTTCCCTTTAAAAGTCAAAAATTCAGTCAAACAACCGCCATTGTTTCCAAAAAACGAGAACAAATACAGCAGCTCGTGTTCTCCAGAGTAAGAAAACAAAAAGTCCCCTTAAAAGTTTGAAGCGCTAACCCAAGACCAAAAAGCAGAATCATGATGAAACTTTTCGGCTGACAAGAGGTGGAAAATTAATTCGCTGGGATTTTTCCCAAGCATAATTAGGGACGGCAAACTTGGCCCAAGGTGGCCTTTTTTCAACGAGTTTTAAATCGAATTGATTTGCAAAGTTAATTGGCGGCGCGGAAAAAAGATAGACGAAGGTGGCAAAGGGACGTCCATCAGAAATGGAACACTTTGCCAATTAATTAAATGAACGCCAAGCCAAATTGAGGCCGCAACTGGACATGGCGGAGGAATGGCAATTAAAAATGCCAGTGGCGCCGGGAGGGGCAACACGAGATGGATAAATTCTGGAATAGATGGCTGGGGCGGAGTCCTCCGAGCCACACCATGCATTTATTCAGTGTGAGGGCGGTGGGATAGTTTGCAGGCGTGGCACCAACCGGCCACTCAAATTCCAATCTGCTGCCATCGAAGAGGGAACTGCATAATCCCAAAAACGAATCCTGGCGAGGGTAGCCCGTCGCCAATAAAGGGGGATTTTCCTTTTCAAAAGTGTGGACATGTCACAATATGTTTTTGTTAATAAATTTTTAGAAAACTATTTTCGATAAATTTCTAACAAAGATTCTTTGTAATTAAAGAACATAACTTTTCTAAAACTTTTAATAGTTTCAGCGAGACAACTCCGAGATATCTTTTAAAAGTTGTGTGACTTTGAGACTTGGTAATCACACTTTTAATTGAACTTGAAACTTTCAGGGAAAGTGTTACTTAATTGGAAGCATATTATTCGGTATTCATCAAAGTTTGCCTATTTTTCTTCAATAATAATTTTTAAAGCCCCTTTTTCCGACCCATGGCTTAAAGTGCACCTCGTTGTGTGAGGAAATTTGTTCGTTTCTGGCAGCTACCGAAAAACACTACATCAACACAGGGGCTACCCGACCATAAGTTATCCCCCTTGGCCTGGTCCAAAAATTGAATTGTTCCCGGCTCGCAGCAGAAAGTCGTGCTTTGTTTTCCCCCATTTTCCTCCGATAGTTTGGCGCTCTTGTTGCAAACGCACATAGAGGCTCTGCTATTTTTTCGGGGGCTCCGACAGGCAGTCGCTTCATTTGCATATAGAATGGGTGTTCCGAGAGGCGATAATGTATCGACAGGCTTTTGGAGCCAACTCGAGGATGAAGGATGAGTAACCGGCAAGGCGGGTAGGGGCGCGGAAGTGTACACAT